GAATGTGGTAAAACAAAGACTAAGCAGTCCTGAATAATAGATATGCGGAGTGGTCCCTGCATGAATTTTGTAGCAGCCCTACATAGGTAGGGGAGACTGAGGTGAGTTGTAACAGAGGTGAGTTGTGACATTGACGATTTTTTGGAACTACTATCTACTAGCGAGCTCGTAACAGTGCGCGTATTTCAAGTCTCGAGCTAACAAATGCACGCGGTTGCGAACTCATCATCATCATCATTTCAGCCACAGGACGTCCACTGCTGAACATAGGCCTCCCCCAATGATTTCCATATCGTGCGGTTGGTAGCGGCCTGCATCCAGCGCCTTCCTGCTACCTTTAGAAGGTCATCGGTCCACCTTGTGTGTGGACGACCCACGTTAAGTTTTCCTGTACGTGGCCTCCACTCTAGAACTTTGCCGCCCCATCTTTGCCCTATGTTTGCCCCATCATTGCGACCAACATGTGCCCTGCCCTTTGCCACTTCAGCTTACTATACCTGCTGCGTTGCGAACTCGCTAATAGTTATGGTTTCCAATAATCGTCGTTCACAACTCTCCTCTGTTACAACTCACCTCGGCTTCCCCTGGTATAAGTACAGCATTAAAGTCCTCAGGGTAAAAACTCGCTAAATGTGTTCCCTTTGAAGTACACTACACATGTACTGTTTCAGTCGAGTTAGGAGTTAGACAAAAGATATCCAAATGTACTGTAGCGTTTTGAATGGAAAATCGAGGTGGAAATTCAAGAGGTATGAGCATTGTAGGGAATTTATGAATGTGGAATGTGGTTTGAGAATTGAACTAGGCACACAAACAGTTCAAATAATTTAATTAGGGCGCTTTCAAATTAGGCGTTTTGAAACGGACGTTTGTCGTGCGTTTAAAGACCGCACACTCTGTTGGTAATTTTGACTGACATTTTTATTCCAACGCAGTTGTCATACAATTTTTAGTGTGCGTCTCAAAACGTCAATTTGAAAGAGCTCTTATAGTTGATATTTTTTATTTCGATTATTCGATATAAGGGCAAGGGCGTTTTAGTATAACGTGCTGATGAGACTGTAAAATGGAAAATTTATAAGTTGAACTACATATTTATGTAACATCAAAATTATCTGAACATAGATTTGTATTATGTACCTATCTAAATACTTACAGAAATCAAATAGGAATCTTTTGAAAATAGTACGCTCTACATTTGATAAGATAATCTTTTATCTATGTTTTCATAGGTAAATCATTTGTGTTTTAACACTTTTTTATAAAACCCGCCTTATAAATTAATTTCATTTTTTTTCTTTTAAAAGAAGACAACCTAAAACACTAGAAATAAACCACTCGGGATCTAAATGTAAATGAAGATGTACTAACATACAAACAGATTAAATAAAGCTCCGAGTTTCGCGCTAGTCTCATGAGAGGCCACATTCATCTTGCGCATTCATGATGTAAAATTTCCACGTCCTTACCACACGCCAATATACGCTACCATATGGTGCCAGAAACGCTGTCTTTTGGCCAACTTTTATCTGTTTTGGAAGCGGAAAAATTGTGGAGATATTCTTCAAATAGATCTTTACTTATCGGTGACACGCCCGTATTCACAAACGATGCTTGCTTATGTAAGTGAAGCAGCAAATCGAACGCACAGCGTTGAATGGGGCTTTGTGATTGGTTCATGTGTCACCCTGTGCGTCCACGCGCACTATGAGACCTCATAGTAATGTTTGTGAATTCGGGCGTGTGATTGGTTCATGTGTGGGCGATTGGTTCATCTACGCGCACTGTGAGACCTCATAGTAATGTTTGTGAATACGGGCGTTAACACAGACAGTCCATGTAGTTGACAGCTTATTATTTTGGTTTGGTTTTGGTCAAGTTTGTGGAAGATGGGTAGGTTAATGGTTTAAAAGTCATTTCCTACTCGCTCTTCCATTTGGTTGAATTTCAATGTTTATTCTAATCTCTAATTTCAAGCGTTGTTTGAGTGTAGATTCATACGAGAGTGTCATCTCTTCATTATATAAATAAAGTCCTCTGTTTGTTTGTATGCATAGAGTTTATAAAATTCTCAACGGATTTTAATACGGTTTTTTAATTCAGGGGGAACATTTAGATGTATTATTATACATGGCATCCATGTGAAGTTTCATAATGATTACCTTCATACCAAACTTACTTTTATTCAAATTTTTTTTTAATCATTATTAAGGTTAACAAGGATACCCAAAGTAGGGTAATGCACCAAAACCACACCCCGAATCTATTATCGAGCTTAGTTGGCGAGCCTAATCTGATTATAAGTGTTCCAAAGTGTACTTATTTCAAATTTATAAGACCGATTTTGTATAGAGTAAATTACGTTTCATATTACATATTATACAGGGCTGGGTTGCACTATCTTACTTTGACTTTAACAAACGTCAAAAATATGTCAAACTATACAAATACACCTTTACGTTAACGTTATAGATACGGTTAAAGTTAGGTGGTGCAACTCAGTCTAAAAACTTATGCCGTCGTAGGAACAGGTAAAATGACAGGGTGACACTAGAAATTATTTCATAGAGCGGTTCGTTGTTCTATTACAAATAAATGCTTTAGTCTATAACCACCTTGAAAACTTGCATTGTTTATTACAACAATTGTTTACAACACTAAAACCATGTATTCATTAGGCAACATTTGTTGATAAACTGTATATGACTAGTGTGAAACAAGTTTACCATAAACACAGGTTTCTGAAACATGGCCGTCCACACCTTGCTCTCCACTCATAGCGGGGAGCACGGCAACATGTATCATAAACAATGTTTCATCACTTATGTTTATGGACTGTTTATAAACTGTTTAGGTACAGAGATGATGAAACATTGTTTATGAACAGTTTATAAACAGTGTTTATCAACAAATGTTGCCTAACGAATATTATGGCTTTACAGGTTAACCCTCTAAAACATTGGTTCCCAAACTTGGTTGAGAGGCGTCCCTTTTCGACCATAAAAAAATTCCGCGCCCCCCTTCCTCCAGTCAAGATTATTTATTGGTCGTATCGAGCAGTCTGGAATGCATTTTCTCAGCGATCGCAGGTTTTTTATACTTAAGTCACAGATGGCCAGCTTAAAGGGGGGCGCCTTCCCTGGGGGGCGCGCCCCCCACTTTGGGAACCAATGCTCTAAAATATTTAGTAAAATTTATTGTTCTACTAAATACTTTTCTATATTTTAGTGTACTAGCCTAGGTGCCTAAGAAATTAAACGTTTGTGAGCACAACGACCCAGCCGAGGAATGTGACATGGGTCGCGATAATAGCTTCGTGGTGAGCAACAAAACGTGTGGAATTTAATCGCGCGAACATTCTCTAGGATGATTTTATTTTATATTAAACTTTTGCTTAGCAATGAAAATACCCGAAATGGGTGTAAGTCTGTAAGAATACTTGCTTTGATAAAATATTTTTTTATTATTTATCACATACGCCTTTTCTTCTTAGAGCCTATGCACACGAAGTTTTTTCAGCGCGTTGTCGGACGTAATCTTTGTANATGTGGTGTGTATAGGCCCTAAAAATATTTTTCCAAAGGGTTTTAACATAATTTTTATCGCTAATACTCATTAGAATTTATGCGTTTCTTTTAGTGAATTCCTTTCTCTAAATGCACCCTCTTTATTGTTTTTGTCTTCGCTGTTTTCTTAGGTGACATTCCACATTCTTTGGAGTTAATCAAAACGACATATTTTATTGCTTAACCCTCTTTCTGGCACAGTCAGTTAAAAACCCAACAATAAAAAACAAACGAAAGCAAATGGAAAATACACTCAGTTGAAATGCAAATGTATTAATCCACCGAATTCAACGTGCAGTCGCCGGGTCGCCGGGATAGTGTAATGAGGATTAAATTTTAAGCCCGGATTAAAATATCAGCCGCCAGGGACACCGGCCGACGTCAGCTGGCGTACGAATGTTTGCCGGGGGCATATTTTGATGCGTTAGAATTTCAATTCGCATGCGAAAGCGCAGAAATTGTAGTACATGGGTTTGATGATTCTATTCGTTATTAATGATTTGGCCTCATGATCAATATTACAAATACAGCTCCTGAACTTTATTATTAGTAGATTTTAATGTGGGATATGATTTTAAATATCGCGTTGATGTAACTTAGGTACGTATTAAATTATGTTAGGCTGGGTTGCAACCTCTTAATTCAACTTTAACAAACGTCAGAAACCTCTCAAATTCCATACAAAACACACCGGTTATCGTTATAGTTACTGTTAAAGTTGGGTGGTGCAACTCAGCCTAATTCTAGTAACTAAAAACTTACAAAATCAGCTTTAAGGTATATTGCAGCGACTTTTAAGTGGAATTTGCTTACCTGAAACAAAAAAAAAAATGCGTTCTTAGAAAATGTTTACAATTACATACAAGTACAGTTAACAGCACATCAGGCTCTACATTTCTTACAAAATAGCACCTAGATTATTATAATAATATTTAACAAGATGCCGCAATACAAGCTTGATGTGCCGTCGTCCAGAATTTCAAGTGTAAAATTTTAGTAAAGATGATGATGATGATCCATCCGATCGATTTCGGCCATGGCGACCACTCCGACTCCTAAATGTCTTGGCAGCGCTGGTGTGCCCGAAGATGGCTTACGTAGCTGATCTTCGCGGCAAACCCCTTCGCACATTGAAAATTACAATTCCAATCACAGCCATGCTTGAGTTTGAATCGTGTTTTGAGCAAGAAGAAGTTTGTAACAAGAATGAAATAAAATAATGTTCCTTATAACACAATTAACTGACATTATTAAAAATCCAAACAATAAACAGATCATTTCTATTGTCATGTAGTTTTTAAAACTGAATGACATCACGGCAAAATATGAATGGTGTATCAAGGAAGTGTATGCCAATGTTTTTAAACAATCATTGTGGGCTAGTTATATAAAGGCTGGAGGATATGCTTCCATCTCACTTGCGCAGGAGTCGACTCGTGGGTGCAGGTGGTTATTCTGACTGTTGTCTTAGAAATTTTGAGAGGTAGAGTAGAGTTAGAGAGAACAGAGCGAAGAAAAGGGTGTTTTTTCAGTTAGGGGACAGTGCGTGAGGTAGTAAAAGTATCTTCGTCACGTCACATTTTGTAGAAGAAGAAGATAAAAAAGTGAAAAATACGTGACTTCGGAGTCATGACGTTACGTCTTCGTCAGTAGGGGTGTATAATACGACGGTTATATTATTATCGGTCGTGCGCTGCCCGCATCCAGGCTCTTCCCGCGACCTTCACCAGACCGAGCGAGATATTATTATAATCTACTCAAATAGATTTCGGTCTGTCATCCCCTTCATAATAAGTATTTAGGTTAGACTTCTCTTTTTACCTTCTGGATAACTTCTAGTTATCTCTGGACTACAAAAACTCTACCAGCCGTGAGTAACTACAAATAATTTAAAAATAGAATCATCATCATCACCATAATTTCCAGCAATGTGGGAGATCATAGCAGCAAGTCTGGTGGTGATAGCCGAGGCGAGGTACGAGAATGTGAACGTGAAGCAGGACTGGTGGGAGACAGCTGTGTTCTACCAGATCTACCCTCGTTCCTTCATGGACAGCGATGGCGATGGTGTCGGAGATATAAATGGTGAGTTTTTTGTATTCGTTCCTTCCTCCTCTTCCTCCCTATAGGTATTCTTCTGATTGTTGCGAGTTGCAAAACAGTAGCTAACCTCGGGACTTCTCAACCTTTACTGGTTGGGTTGCATTGAGGCCAAACTGTAGATCCTGGTTTCATAGGAGCTGCAGTGGTGAGAAAGAGTGGAGGGATTGTCTCATGTTATTCGGCCATCTAACTACACTAAACATCAAATAAACCGCACCTTCCGCGACGCGAACTTTAAAGATTTTCTTCTGACACAATCATGGTACCCCAACAATATTGGTGTTATTTGAAAGCCTAATAAATATCCTTAAAGAAAAACACATTTCATTTCTAAATAAATGATTAACAAATACCATAAATGTGACTTGAAAATAGACCTCACTTTGGGCTCACCTCTGGGATCAATGAGACCAATTTTTATGGTTATAAAACCAAATAATGATCTCACGACTCACATGTCCTCTTTGACAGATGTATAGTGATTAATCCCAACTTAACAGTTTTATAGTCATAAAAATGGCTCAAGCGTAACTACCCATTTTTTGAAGAAGTGACTCTGGATCCTTCTAAAGACACATTTTTGGGGTAAAAACCTTTCCTTTAATGAAATGAAGTTTAGACCTAGGCTTTTAAATGGTGCCAATAATGGTGGGAAGTGGGGATGCATACGTTTGAAAGTGCTTGTCGCGGAAGGTGCGATTTATTTGATATCGAGTGTAGATAGCCAAATGACTTCTACTGTTGGATAAGGCCTAACTCACCAGAGATATCCACAACGATCGGTCCTGGACTGCTCGCATACAGGTGCTTCCCTTGACCTTTTTTTTTACAGGCTGCCTCAATATAAACACTAGTATAGTATATTGTTATTGGCAGTAGCTATAACACGTCTTTATTCTTGAAATTGCCTAGAGGTTTTTTATGATGATGTTAATATTATAGCTATGATCCACACGATAGAAGATTATAATAAAGTATAAGTATCAGAGCATTTTTTCCTAATTTTGTTTTTGCTGTTCTACCGTTAAAGTTATTTTTACTTACAGGAATAACTTCAAGGTTAGAATACCTGAAAGAGATTGGCATCAACGCCGCTTGGTTGTCTCCCATCTTCAAGTCGCCAATGCATGACTTTGGGTACGACATATCGGATTATTACTCCATACAACCAGAGTATGGGTCTTTGGAGGACTTTGAACAGCTGCTCAAAAAGGCTAATGAACTAGGTAAATATTTTTTGTAAATTATTGAATTATCCTTTTGGTATGTAGGTAGATGACTGGCGCTATCTACTGATATCCAGGCAGTGTTTTTGATTGCGCTATTTCATTCTTTCCTACGTATCAAATTAAACTACATAATAAATGTAAATAAAAAAAAAATCTGAAATCAGCTCATTAAAAGGAAAAGGGATAATTATTAAATTCTGCTGACTAGAAAGTAAGTTAAAGACGATTTACACGATTTTTATGTCGGTTTGGCTGAAAATTTCAGGCGGGCCGTCAACCGATAACCTTTTGTTCGATTTTGCTTTCCAACAGCTTTGCCAACTGAGTATCAACAACATTAAAGCGTATTTTCGCGATGTGTTTTGTAAGAGTTTTTTGGTATTCCTTGGCGGGCAGTAAAATAACTGCCAAAGGAAAAACTTCACATCAACTTGAATGTTCACAGTCACATTTGCACCCGCACCACTCGGGAATCGTCCCGAACACGCACTAAGTGAGCTCATCATTATTCATTGCTCAATCCATTACGCAAATTTATGCATTACTCAGACGAATCATCAAAATTTTCGACTCTGGCGAAATTTGTTTATACTGGAGATCAGTGATACTCAACTTTTTTGAGTGGCGCGCCCCTAAGTAACAAAATCTTAGTTAGATCATATCATCAGGACATTCAGTCTCCACTGCAGAAAGACGGATCGTCTCTAATTTTACACTTCTTACACGCGCCATGATCACGGAGTAACTCTATCTTTTAAGTTTACCGTAGAAGGTATACTATGAAGCGAAATTTCGTTATTATGGATTTCGCCACAGTTTAAATTGCGGGCCTCAGGTTGAGAACCAGAATCTCAAATCACTCATTCAAGTTTCCTAACAAGATTCTGCGATAACTTGTCATGTACGAGTTTGTTTATTTGAAGTTTTATCGGAGTTTTAATTTTTGCTTGGATAAAAATAAACTTGTTCAATGTCTACACCTGCCTAAAAGATAATCAATGTTTCACATGTTTGGGTATGTTGTTAGATAATGCGTATCATGTGGTATCATCCTGTTAAGGAATTTTCATTTCTAGATTATGGTTTTTGGCTTAAACAAAATTTTTATTGGTGAAGTCATAACACATTTTTTTTATCACTAGCAGAATTTTGAGAACAGACTCAACTTTTTCTGCTCGAGCAATTTAAACTACCCGTAAAGCAACAGCAGTTTTTTTCAAATCAATCACAAATTCCATGGGTCCATCACTCTCAGGATATTTTTTACGCTATTATATTTTTCACTTTTTCTTGTGAAAAGCATCTTTAATACATGTTTTGAATTTTCAGACATAAAAATAGTTTTAGACCTCGTGCCGAATCACACGAGCAACGAAAGTGAATGGTTCCTCAAGTCGGCCAGCAAAGACGAGTATTACAATGACTGGTACATCTGGGAGAATGGTCACATGGACGACAATGGTGACAGAAAACCGCCTAATAATTGGGTTAGTAACGAAAATGAAATGAAAATTAAAAACTGTATCCCTTTAAGTACCAGCTAATCGAGACACAATAGAAATCATTTGTTACCCCGCAGTCTTGCGACCACTTAGGTTTCCACGATTTAAAGATTTGGCACATACGAGTATGGAGTTCTTTAAATGTCTACTTATATTTTTGGATCTACCAACGAATTTAGACAACCTTATACCTAATCATTTCTAGTTGCTGATTTGGAATATTCTTTCCCTTTTCTTTAGCTAATAATGTCGTTTTTCACAGATCAGTGTGTTCAGAAAAAGCGCGTGGACTTATCACCCTAGTCGGGACCAATTCTACCTGCATCAGTTTGGTGAGGCACAACCAGATCTGAACTTCAGAAACCCTGTCGTTTTTGAAGAAATGAAGGTAATGCATTTATGTTGTTTTTTATTACTAACGTCGACTAAAATAATGCCTAATACTTCTACATTATGTGTGATCCCTATTTTATGTAATTTACCTTTGTAATATCGTAATAAGTAAGTACAGACTAAATACCTACCATAAGAATTGAAATAACCAATGATTGAAATGATTTACCTACTTGCGGTTGTTCTATTTACAAATCTTCGGTATTCCATTTTCAAAATCAGGGCGTTCCATTGACGTTCCATCTCCATCTCATCAATCATTTAAATGCTCCTGCTAAGCCTCTTCCCGCATGTAACATGTAAGGTCGCACACACACACGTATATTAGGAATACACCTGTCGTTATTTCGCTTCTAAGGTCGAAGGCATCAATCTTGGATTAATGCTGTGTGCTACAAATACAATGAATCTTTCTATATAAATCTATTCTGGTGCTGCCAAAAGTGTATTAATATTAGTTTACGTAATAAATAGTCATAATATTTAGTTACAAAATAGGTTCCCTTTCTTTTCCATTACACAGTCACGCTGTTCCTAACAGGATTCATAATTAGGTCCGAATATTAAGTTTTAGTCTCTACAACGATTACATAACTATGGAAAGCAATAGTAATTGACAATAATTTCGTACACCGTCTTTAATTATATTTATTTGTGTACGTTTCAGAACATTATAAAATTTTGGCTCGAAAAGGGAGTGGCTGGTATGCGAATCAATTCTGTCAACTATTTCTTTGAAACCGACAAAGATGTGTTCGGGGGGAGGTACCCTGATGAGCCCCTCACTGGAAAACCAGGGCTGGGCCCAGACGACTACGGGTACTTGGACCACGTTTACACAAAGGACCAAGAAGAAACCTACGAAATGGTGTCGCAATTCAGGGACGTTTTCGATGCTATAACTCTACGGAATAACGTGACCAGGTATGGGTATTTCGCCAAAAATGGTCAATTTTGCCTAATTTCCTTGGTACGAAATATATTTTTGTTTTTAACTATTTTTAGTTTCCCATTGTATTAAGTAACAAAAACTAAGCTAATATATCTAAAAGGGGTGTCATAATTCGTTTTAGAAANACATGCTGATAACATGTTCCATCGTAATAAACTTCTTTCCGACATAATTTAATAAAGAAAACACCTAAAATGACCTAAAACCACAATTTTATTTTGCTTTTCACACGTCAATAAGCCAGTGAGTTACGTTACTGTGACAGCTATGGTATTTTTCGATGACATCTTTGAAAATTGCAACTCATGGTAAGTTATTTGTATGAAACTTAATAAAAACTTTAGTCGCTATCGTATTCATTTAGATAGGTTTTTTACCTAACGATTTGAGATGAACTCATGGTAGTGTTTTTAGTTTTGCTGTGGTTCAGCTACTAACCGCTAGAGGCGCTGTACAATTTGCCATACATTTTTTTACGCCCTCGATAGCGAGATGCTCGGTAGGTAAACTCATGGTAGAGGCACTGATGAGACTGTACAATGGAAAATTTATAAGTTGAACTACATATTTATGTAACATTAAAATTATCTGAACATAGATTTGTAGTATGTACCTATCTAAATACTTACAGAAATCAAATAGGAACCTTTTGAAAATAGTACGCTCTACATTTGATAAGAATAATCTTTTATCTATGTTTTCATAGGTAAATCATTTGTGTTTTACCAGACATGGTATAAATCCCGTCCTATAAATTATTTCTATTAAATATTTTTTCTATAAAAGAACACTATAAAAACCACTTCAAATGTAAATGAGGATGTACTAACATACAAACATATTAAATAAAGCTCGGAATTTCGCGCAAGTCTCATGAGAGGTCACATTTTATCATCCGCATTCATGATGTAAAATTTCCACGTCCTTACCACGCCAATATCTGCTACCATATGCTACCAGAAACGCTGTCTTTTGGCCAACTTTTATCTGTTTTGGAAGCGGAAAAATTGTGGAGATATTCTTCAAATAGATCTTTACTTATCGGTGACACGCCCGTATTCACAAACGATGCTTGCTTATGTAAGTGAAGCAGCAAATCGAACGCACAGCGTTGAATGGGGCTTTGTGATTGGTTCATGTGTCACCCTGTGCGTCCACGCGCACTATGAGACCTCATAGTAATGTTTGTGAATTCGGGCGTGTGATTGGTTCATGTGTGGGCGATTGGTTCATCTACGCGCACTGTGAGACCTCATAGTAATGTTTGTGAATACGGGAGTTAGTACATTAGACAGTCCATGTAGTAGACAGTTTATTATTATGGTTTGGTTTTGGTCAAGTTTGTGGAAAATGGGTAGGTTAGTGGGTTAAAATTCATTTCCTACTTGCTCTTCCATTTGGTTGAATTTCAATGTTTATACTAATCTCTAATTTCAAGCGTTGTTTGAGTGTAGATTCATACGAGAGTATCATCTCTACATTATAAATAAAGCCCTCTGTTTGTTTGTTTGTTTGTGTGCATAGAGCTTATAAAATTCTCAACGGATTTTAATACGGCTTTTATCAATTGATAAAACGATTCAGGGGGAACATTTAGATGTATGATTATACATGGCATCCATGTGAAGTTTCATAATGATTACCTTCATACAAAACTTACTTTTATTCTAATTTTTTTCTAATTATTATTAAGGTTAACAAGGATACCCAAAGTAGGGTAATGCACCAAAACCACACCCCGAATCTATTATCGAGCTTAGTTGGCGAGCCTAATCTGATTATAAGTGTTCCAAAGTGTACTTATTTCAAATTTATAAGACCGATTTTGTATAGAGTAAATTACGTTTCATATTATTATACAGGGCTGGGTTGCACTATCTTACTTTGACTTTAACAAACGTCAAAAATATGTCAAACTATACAAATACACCTTTACGTTAACGTTATAGATACGGTTAAAGTTAGGTGGTGCAACTCAGTTTATACATTTTTGTTGAATAATCGTCTCACAGAAAAAAACTTATGCCGCGCGTCGTACAGGTAAAATGACAGGGTGACACTAGAAAAATTTATAACGTACGAACAGGTAAAATGACAGGGTGCCACTAGAATATTTCAAAGAGTGGCTCGTTGTTCTGTTATAAGTAATGGCGCAATTTCACTAGTCGATAGGGTCCGCATGCGGCGTGCGGGAGATTTCTGGAACGCGTGCCGCAGGGCCCGCAATCTGGGTGCGAAGTTTACTAAAAAACTGAAACAGGCATGGCGCGTCAGAAAATCTGAATGATGAATTTCATTGGTCGATAGCACGCTCAGTACACATTCAGACAGCATGCGGGGAATCCCCGCAGGCGTTGTACCGAACGCGTATCGACTTGCAACTTTCATTGGTCGTTATCTCGCATGCGGGGAGTCCCCGCATGCTGTATACCGAACGAGTTATCGACTAATGAAAATGCGCCATAAATGCTCTGTCTATACTTACCTTACAAAGCTGCATTATTTTTTAATCTATTTTTCTACACTCACAAGGATAATCTTTTAAAATATTTAGTAAATGTCTTAATTAATACTAGGTGGTAAAATTTTAAATTTATTGTTCTACTAAACAGTTCTCTACACTATCTACACTAAAATTAAAAAGAGGAAATCTTTGTTTGTTTGTTTGGTTGTAATGAATAGGCTCAAAAACTACTGGACCGTTTTTAAAAATTCTTTCACCATTCGAAAGCTACATTATCCACGAGTAACATAGGCTAAATTTTATTTTGGAAAAAATAGGGTTCCGTAAAATATGTAGTAAATGTAGTTCACATGCGCGAAGCCGCGGGCGGAAAGCAAGTCTTTAATATTTTAGTGTATTACCAAGCGCCTAAGAAATTAAACGTTTGTAAGCACAACGACCCAGCCGAGGAATGTGACATGGGTCGCGATAATAGCTTCGTGGCGAGCAACAAAATGTGTGGAATTTAATCGCGCGAACATTCTCTAGGATGATTTTGTTTTTTGCTTAGCAATGAAAATACACGAAATGGGTGTAAGTCTGTAAGAATACTTGGTTTGATAAAATATTTCTTTATTATTTATCACATACGCCTCTTCTTCTTAGAGCCTATGCACACGAAGTTTTTTTAGCGCGCTGTCGGACGTAATGTTTGTAGGAAAAAATGGTGGTGTGTATAGGCCCTAAAAATATTTTTCCAAAGGGTTTTAACATAATTTTCATCGCTAATACTCATTAGAATTTACGCGTTTCTTTTAGTGAATTCTTTTATCTAAATGCACCCTCTTTATTGTTTTTGTGGCAAGAGGTCTTCGCTGTTTTCTTAGGTGACATTCCACATTCTTTGGAGTTAATCAAAACGACATTATTGCTTAACCCTCTTTCTGGCACAGTCAGTTAAAAACCCAACAATAAAAAACAAACGAAGGCAAATGGAAAATACACTCAGTTGAAATGCAAATGTATTAATCCACCGAATTCAACGTGCAGTCGCCGGGTCGCCGGGATAGTGTAATGAGGATTAAATTTTAAGCCCGGATTAAAATATCAGCCGCCAGGGACACCGGCCGACGTCAGCTGGCGTACGAATGTTTGCCGGGGGCATATTTTGATGCGTTAGAATTTCAATTCGCATGCGAAAGCGCAGAAATTGTAGTACATGGGTTTGATGATGATTCTATTCGTTACCTATTTATGATTAGGCCTAATGATCAATATTACAAAATCCTGAACTTTATTATTAGTTATATAATTTTAAATATCGCGTTGATGTAACTTAGGTACGTATTAAATTATGTTAGGCTGGGTTGCAACCTCTTAATTCGACTTTAACAAACGTCAGAAACCTCTCAAATTCCATACAAAACACACCGGTTATCGTTATAGTTACTGTTAAAGTTGGGTGGTGCAACTCAGCCTAATTCTAGTAAATAAAAACTTACAAAACCAGCTTTGATGCATATTGCAGGGACTTTTAAGTGGAATTTGCTTACCTGAAACAAAAAAAAAATGTTTACTTACATACAAATACAGTTAACAGCACATCAGGCTCTACATTTGTTACAAAATAGCACCTAGATTATTTGAACTAATAATATTTTAACAATATGCCGCAGTACAAGCTTGATGTGCCGTCGTCCAGAATTACAAAAGTGTAAAATTTTAGTAAAGATGATGATGATGATCCATCCGATCGATTTCGGCCATGGCGACCACTCCGACTCCTAAATGTCTTGGCAGCGCTGGTGTGCCCGAAGATGGCTTACGTAGCTGATCTTCGCGGTAAACCCCCTCGCACATTGAAAATTACAATTCCAATCACAGCCATGCTTGAGTTTGAATCGTGTTTTGAGCAAGAAGAAGTTTGTAACAAGAATGAAATAAAATATTGTTTTTTTATAACACAATTAACTGACATTATTAAAAATCCAAACAATAAACAGATCATTTCTATTGTCATGTAGTTTTAAAAACTGAATGACATCACGGCAAAATATGAATGGTGTATCAAGGAAGTGTATGCCAATGTTTTTAAACAATCATTGTGGGCTAGTTATATAAAGGCTGGAGGATATGCTTCCATCTCACTTGCGCAGGAGTTGACTCGTGGGTGCAGGTGATTATTTTGACCGTTGTTTTAGAAATTTTGTGAGGTAGAGTAGAGTTAGAGAGAACAGAGCGAAGAAAAGGGTGTTTTTTCAGTTAGGGGACAGTGCGTGAGGTAGTAAAAGCAAACTCCTGATTTAAAGATTGATCACTCTTACTTATCACATTTTGTAGAAGAAGATAAAGAAGTGAAAATACTTCTCTGGACTCATGACGTCACGTCGTCCTCAGGCGTGTATAATACTACGATGATATTATCTACTCAAATAGTATTCGGTCTGTTATCCCCTCCTTAATAAGTTCTACTATATAGACTTCTCTTTTTACCTTTTGGATAACTTCTAGTTATCTCTGGACTACAAAGACTCCACCAGCTGTAACTACTAATAATTTGAAAAGATAAAATCATCATCATCACCATAATTTCCAGCAATGTGGGAGATCATAGCAGCAAGTCTGGTGGTGATAGCCGAGGCGAGGTACGAGAATGTGAACGTGAAGCAGGACTGGTGGGAGACAGCTGTGTTCTACCAGATCTACCCTCGTTCCTTCATGGACAGCGATGGCGATGGAGTTGGGGATATAAATGGTGAGTTTTTTGTATTCGTCCCTTCCTCCCTAATTAAGTAAATTCTTCTGATGAAATTCGTTATGAGGTCAAGCTTTAGATCCTGAATAAACAGGAGTTGCAGTGGTGGGATTATTCCCATGTGTTTTCGGTACAGCCCAATGACTTCTACTGCTGGCCAAAGGCCTCACCAGGGATTTCCACAATGACCGTTCCTGCACTGCTTTTATCTTTGACCTTTTTGTAATACAGGCTGCCTCAATATAGGCACTAGTGTAGTATATTGTTATTGGCAGTAGCTATAACACTCTTTGTGATTATGTTAATATCCACACGATAGAAGATAATAAAGGATAAGCATTAGAGCATTTTTTCGTAATTTTGTTTTTGTGCAAGAGTTGCCGTTCTGTTGTTAAAGTTATTTTTACTTTTAGGAATAACTTCAAGATTAGAATACCTGAAAGAGATTGGTATCAACGCTGCTTGGTTATCTCCCATCTTCAAATCGCCGATGCATGACTTTGGGTACGATATATCGGATTATTACTCCATACAACCAGAATATGGGTCTTTAGAGGACTTTGAACAGCTGCTCAAAAAGGCTTATGAACTAGGTAAGTTCATTAAAGCACTTTTTTTTTGTAAATTATTGAATAACGCAGCGTTGACGTCTACCCGACGACCTGATAAAGGTAGCAGGAAGGCGCTGGATGCAGGCCGCCCATGCGATGTGGAAGTCATTGGGAGAGGCCTAAGTTAAGCAGTGGACGTCCTGTGGCTAAAATGATGATGATGATGATGATGATGAAATTATTGAATGTCCGTTCGGTAAAATCGCGGCTCTTGTATGTAGGTAGCTGGCGCTATCTACTGATCGATATTCAGGCAGTGTTTTTGATTGCGCTATTTCTTTTTCTTTTTCCTACGAATCCAATTAAACCATGTCTGAAAATCAGCTCATTAAATGAAAAAAAGTTAATTATTAAATTCTGCTGACTTTTAGAATAAACTTAAACACGATTTTTATGTCGGTTCGGCTGAAAATTTTAGGTGGACCGTCAACCGATGACCTTTTGTTCGCTTTTGCTTTCCAACAGCTGAGACATTTTTAACACATCAAAAACTTCAAAGCTTATTTTTGTAGGGTGCAACAGCTTTGCCAACTGAGACATTTTTAACGTATCAAAAACATGAAAGCTTATTTTCGCGATGTGCTTTGTAAGAGTTTTTTGGCTGCCAAAGGAAAAACTTCACATCAACCTGAATGTTCACAATCACATTTGCACCCGCAACACTTGGGAATCGTCCCGAACACGCACTAAGTGAGCTCATCATTATTCATTGCTCAATCCATTACGCAAATTTATGCATTACTCAGACGAATCATCAAAATTTTCGACTCTGGCGAAATTTGTTTATACTGGAGATCAGTGATCCTCAACTTTTTTGAGTGGCGGGCCCCTAAGTAACAAAATCTTAGTTAGATCATATCATCAGGACATTCAGTCTCCACTGCAGAAAGACGGATCGTCTCTAATTTTACACTTCTTACACTTCTCACTCTGGACAGATGAGAGTTTGATATTTGACAGTAACTCTATCTATTGTTTTAAAATTTCATGGTCACTAACAGAATAATTATTATTGAGGTGATTGCTACCATGTACCTTATTTATTGCAAGCGCCATGATCACGTAGTAACTCTATCTTTTAAATCTACCGTAGAAGGTGTACTATGAAGCGAAATTTCGTTATGGATAATGGATTTCACCACAGTTTACATTGCGGGCCTCAGGTTGAGAACCAGAATCTCAAATCACTCATTCAAGTTTCCTAACAAGATTCTGCGATAACTTGTCATGTACGAGTTTGTTTATTTGAAGTTTTATCGGAGTTTTAATGTTTGCTTGGATAAAAATAAACAATGTCTACACCTGCCTAAAAGATAATCAATGTTTCACATGTTTGGGTATGTTGTTAGATAATGCGTATCATCCTGTGGTATCATCCTGTTAAGGAATTTTCATTTCTAGATTACGGTTTTTGGCTTAAACAAAATTTTTATTGGTGAAGTCATAACACATTTTTTTATCACTAGCAGAATTTTGAGAGTACCCGTAAAGCAACAGCAGTTAAAAATTTCAAATCAATCACAAATTCCATGGGTCCATCACTCTCAGGATATTTTTAACGCACCTTGCTCTTGAGCATCTTTAAAACATGTTTTGAATTTTCAGACATAAAAATAGTTTTAGACCTCGTACCGAACCACACGAGCAACGAAAGTGAATGGTTCCTCAAGTCGGCCAGCAAAGACGAGTATTACAATGATTGGTACATCTGGGAGAATGGTCACATGGATGACAATGGTGATAGAAAACCGCCTAATAATTGGGTTAGTAACGAAAATTAAATGAAAATTAAAAACTGCAGCCCTTTAAGTACCAGCTAATCGAGACACATAGAAATCAATTGTTACCCCGCAGTCTTATGGGACCTCTTAGGTTTCCACAATTCAATTCAATTTAGACCAAGATTTGGCACATACGAGTATGGTGTTCTTTAAATGTCTACTTATATTTTTGGATCTACCAACGAATTTAGACAACCATAAACTGGTTGCTGATTTGGAATATTCTTTCCCCTATTCTTAGCTCATAATGTCGTTTTTACAGATCAGTGTGTTCAGAAAAAGCGCGTGGACTTATCACCCTAGTCGAGACCAATTCTACCTCCATCAATTTGGTGAGGCACAACCAGATCTGAACTTCAGAAACCCTGTCGTCTTTGAGGAAATGAAGGTAATGCATTAATGTTGATATCTATGTACCTACTAAAAGCGTCGATTAAAATAATGCCTAATACTACTACATTATGTGTGATCCCTATTTTATGTAATGTACACACGGCCACACTGTTAACTAACTATCCATTTCCGTTTTTGCTCTTACTCTCATCAAATGGTGATTTTTTGCGATAGAACGAGACCACTAACAGGCAAAGGATAGTTAACACTGTTGCCGATGGTACCTTTGTAATATGTAGTACACCTAAAATACCATAAATAAGAATCGAAATAACCAATGATTGAAATAATTTACCTAAATTCCATTTTCAAAATCAGGGCGTTCCATTGACGTTCCATCTCCATCTCATCAATCATTTAAATGCTCCTGCTAAGCCTCTTCCCGCGTGTAACATGTAAGGTCGCACACACACACGTGTATTTGGAATACACCTGTCGTTATTTCGATTCTAAGGTCGAAGGCATCAATCTTGGATTAATGCTGTGTGCTTCAAATAAAAAAAAATACAGAATGGAACTTTCTAATACATTTATTCTGGTGCTGACAAAAGTGTTTTAATATCAGTTTACGCAATAAATTAATTATAGCCTCGTGTATTTAGTTACAAAATAGGTTCTATTTACTTTCGTGTATGTATTTAGATACAAAATAGGTAGGTTTCCTTTCCTTTCTATTACACAATCACGCTGTTCCTGACAGGATTCATAATTAGGTCCGAATATTAAGTTCTACAACGATTACATAACTTATGGAAAGCAATAAGTAATTGAAAGTAATTTCGTACACCGTCTTTAATTATATTTATATGTATGTGTGCGTTTCAGAACATCATAAAATTTTGGCTCGAAAAGGGAGTGGCTGGTATGAGAATCAATTCTGTCAACTATTTCTTTGAAACCGACAAAGATGTGTTCGGGGGAAGGTACCCCGATGAGCCCCTCACTGGGAAACCAGGGCTGGGCCCAGACGACTACGGGTATTTGGACCACGTTTACACAAAGGACCAAGAAGAAACCTATGAAATGGTGTCTCAATTCAGAGACGTTTTCGATGCTATAACTCTACGGAATAACGTGACCAGGTATCGTATTCAGAGACTTAAAAAAATATTCTATTATATTATTAGGAACAGAAGATTTTTATTTTTATTAGGCAAAGATTATTTTTGATGGAAATTCACTTCAAACCATTACTATTAAATATAAAGTAGGGCCAACGAGAAGCGAAACCAAATGTAAACAAACCCAATGTCATGGGTGAACCCAGAAGTCGTCTGACTTTGACATATTTTGGCGGGAGAACGAGACATTACGACAAATACACAAGATGGGAAGAGACAGAACATATTGTCAACTCGACAGTCGTATCGATCTTTTGTATCGCTGCTATTTGGCCGTACTTTACTTGCTTATTTTATTAGTCATTAAGAGTGAATAGTAAATGTTTGATGACTAAAAAGCAATGCAAATTTTGGCATTTCTGAATTAACATTGCGTTAATTTTTGTTACAAAAAAGTATTTTTTTCCGGGAAGTTCGTTGAATCCTTTATCTTTCTTCAAATCAGCTCTTTATGCTACCATGCTTCTATTCTAATATTTGCTTACACAACCGCCCACATCGATTCATTAACTCATAATCCACGTGTACCAACACTAAAATATACACTCATCAGCATTAAACCACAAAAATAACTCAATTGATTCCAAATCTTATCGTGAAGCAATAAAGCTTAAACTCTGTCGAGGAAAATCACTTTGTACTACCGTTATTTAATTCCTTTGTGCCCTGAACACGCCTCATATACAATTCCTTTTCCTTCCTCAGGGTAATGATGACAGATGCGTACACAAGTATTAAAAATGCAGTGAGGTATTACGGCGAAGGGATCCATTCGGGGGCCCATGTGCCCTTCAATTTCGCCCTTATTGAGGACCTGGATAAGGACTCGGATGCGAGGGATATTAAGTACGCTGTGGACAAATGGTTGACGTACAAACCTTTGAGGAAGCAAGCCAATTGGGTGGTAAAGTAGCATGTATCTGACTTGAGAATCTAACGCCCGTATTCAGAAACGATGCTTGCCTAAGTGAACTTGCCACAGTGTTGAATAGAGCTCTGTGATTGGTTCGTGTGTCACCCTGTGCGTCCACGAGCACTGTGAGACTTCATAGTAATGTTTGTGAAAACGGGTGACAGTGTATTTTGTTCCCAGTTTGGTTAGAACATTACGGCTTGATTCAATTTCACTGTCTGAAAAAGAAACACGTTATTGTCATTCATCATAATGCCTATGACTGTTCATTAGATCTTACAGACATTATTTGTATGTAACTAGAAGAAGATAACTAAAAGTAGTTTTAATACATTATACTTTTTTTGTTGAACAATATCACACAACTACATCAGCTCTCAATGTGCTGTAGTCTGTGATGGCATTTAAAACTAATTTTATAAACGTAGGCCGCTACCAACCGGGCAACATGAAAAGTATTGGGGGATTGATCAGCAGTGGACGACCTATGGCTGAGATGATGATGATGATGATACATTTTATAAAGTTTGAATGATGGTGGTTTTTCTTACAGATCGGGAACCACGACAAGAGTCGAGTAGCCTCTCGGTTCAGGTCCGAATTGGTCGATGCCATGAACATGCTCATTCTTTTGCTGCCTGGAATCGCTATCACGTATATGGTAACATTTACTTTCATATTTTTGTATGAAATTCATCAACAACAATAACAATAAAAAAAATATTGGGGGCTCCCCGCTTAATACCGCGTAATCTTTCATATAAAATAACTTAAATTAAAAAAAAAAAAACAATAAATCAATGGTACGGAACCCTTTGTGCGTGAGTCCGACACGCACTTGGCCGGTTTTTTTTTATTGGCGGTCAAGCTGTAGATCCTGACTATACAGGAGTTGCAGCGGTGGGGATGAGAGTTGGGAAAAGTCCTATAGTCACCAAAGACAAAATAAAAATTAAATTTTGAACCTTAAGGCGATTAGTGTCCTCAATCCGCGTGAAATGGTCATTTTGTAAAGCCTACTCCTCTTTTACTGCTGGACAGAAATAATTGAAAAAAATATATGTTATACAACAGTTCAAGGACTACATTTGACACGTTTGAATTTTTCCTACGTCTCTTTGTTGTGGATTAAAAAAATAAATACGGGACATCGATTTTTTACTTCAATTCCCTACTCCTCCCAAACGGCTATGTTAATTTTAAAGATTTTTGCACGAATAGATTACGAATTCTTTAATCTTTAAATGACACGTTGCGTTTTTCAATCGAACATTACTTTCATTCATAAATTTTACTTTTGATAAATTCCGAACGTTTTGCTGTTGAGGGGGCCTTCGCGGGGTGCGGGCGGCAGTCGGCCGCTGGCCTTCAGACGGGGAGGTTGTGTTACTCGCTGCAAACTGACATTAGCGATCAAAATGAATTTTTTCTTTGGCTGAGTTGCACCACCTGACGTGACCTAACTTTGACCGTAGCTTTGGCGATCCACATTCCAGCTCCAACATCAGACCCTGTTTACATATAGAATTGAAGTAGGTACTCGTGATTTGTAAAGTAGTTTACCGTAACTTTACATAGTTAGTACTTAATGTAAATAAATAAATACAAATCAAACGAGTCTCAACTCGATGGAGTCGTTATATTCCGGAGTTCCTATGGGGTCACTGACTTTCCAGCTCTATCATCAGATCAGCTCCATGTCATCGTAATATTACATTATCATCCGAATTGCATGTGTATCCGAAATTTTAACTCAATCGGTTGTCGTCAGGAAATGGGTCTAACTAATTCATAGTTTACACACAACATAAATTGTAAGCTAAATAAAATAAAATAAAAAATATTATCCCATACAAAATGTTCATGGATTTGTGATTTTTGTTAAATATAAATACCTTACTATACGGTGCGCTAGTTTAGAACATTTCGGGCCATCACTTGCGCTTGTGTTGAATGACATCGACATCAAGGTTCATCAATTCAAGTTTAAAATAATAGGCAGTAATGTATGAGGAGAGCTTCTATTCTGTACCTACCTATGCCCGTGTAATTTTGATCGGTGTCAAATCGGAGTTTTTGTGCGGGGTGCGCGGGTGTTGTGCGAAGCGTGAAGGTCAAACGCTCAAGGTCATTGAGGACTCTAATCGCCTTAACCTAAAGTAATGAAGTGCGAAATCCATTAGTAAGTTGACCTGATTGTGACTACATACGAAAACTACCCGCTGTTAATTAATTTGTCGGGGTTTACACCACATCTTTCATTCCATTACATTAAAAGTCAAAGTTTTCCTGGAATTAAATACCTTTAACGCCAACGCCTCTCTCGTGTATTAAAGCTTCTAACCAGTCACAGACTTGAAGCTATTGAGATTTGATTTATACTTGAGCTTTCATTTAAAAGTACATGAAAAACAATAATTAACCACTGAAAAGCCAATCCCATACTTTTCTCTATTACTTATTACCAACTAATTACCATAAATCTCACTTCAATGTAACTTGATTGAAAGCCACTTACTTACATTGCAAAATAGCATCTACTTATTGCGAAATACTGCACAGAGTTTAGTCCCACGTGTGTTTGTCCATGCAATTATTACATTGAAACCTTTCAGGGCGAAGAAATAGGTATGGTGAATGGATTTGTCCCTTGGAGCGAGACTAAGGACCCCCTTGCATGCAACACCGACGACCCGGTCAATTTCATCGAGGTATCCCGGGACCCCGTACGGACCCCTTTCCAGTGGAGCAACGGGAAGAATGCAGGTAAGGCCCGGGATATTCTTTACCCGACCCTTTTGGGTGAAAGGAATTTATGAAGGTAAATGTTTTAGTTGATAAAATAGGATAAGATTTATAAGCTACATTTTTCAGTTTTGTTGGGATAAAGGTTTTATATGGACCTTACTGAGCCTAGCCGCAAACCACCGACTTTTAGTTGGCCGATAGTTGGGCCCGATTCTAATTTGTATGAAGAATCGGCCGATAACAAATCTGTAATCTGCGCACTTTCATACATCCCCACATTAACAGCCCGACCCAACTTTCGGCCAACTAAAAATCGATGGTCTGCGCCTAGGCTAAAAATACAAAGTGATAATAAAGTAGCATTTATTTGGGAAGTAGACAACTAAGGCTGAGTTGCACCACCTAATTTTAACGGTAATATTACGATAACCGGCGTTTTTTGTATGGAATTTGACAGATTTTTGACGTTTGTCACAGTTACAGTAAGATGGTGAAACCCAGCTTTATTATCTACATTGAAAGACTTCAATTCAATACGTTTAGGCTGAGTTGCATCACCTAACTTTGACCGTAACTATAACGATAACCGGCGTTTTTTATGGAGGTTGACAGATTTTTGACGTTTGTCAAAGTTAAAGTAAGGTGGTACAGCCCAGCCTTACTGTCCAAAATAATACAACTACGATTGTCGCCATCTAAAATATCGATAGTAAACTTCAAATAGAAACTATTTAATATTTGACAAAATTATGTGATTATAGGTTTGAGACCGTTTTGAATAAATTCGGCAACCATTAAAGTAAGAAAATCTTACAAGAGGAAGACCATAGCAACAATTTAAGGATTTCCAAAATTATTTGACGAATTCATCAATAAATTGAACAATATTATTTTCGTTTATCATTCTGCTGCTATGAATGAGATATTTAAATTGACGGACAGCGTCAGAACCCAACCCAATGAATATTTTGCGGTATCGGATGCTTGACCCGCCCTCGGTACTAGGCCACCTTACTCATTACATCTCTGTCAAAGCAACTGATCGCCTTCTGACATGGAGATTACTTCCCAATGAAGACGATTTTCGCAAGTTATGATGGCGATTCCTGAAAGGTGCGTTCAGATTGCTGTAAGTAATTGGTGAAGACGCGTCATCCTAATTGAACAGAAAATGTCAATTGGATTTCATCTACATAGATCAAGTGCTGTCTCAATAAAATCAAAATTGAAGTGAATAACTTAATATTTTATTACTTTCTGTTATGATGATTTTCATCGTTACGCAACAGAGTTTTCATTAAATTCCATTCTGAACTGACTTCAGCCCGCGGCATCATTTGATATTTCGATCTATCGCAAAAAAATTGTAGCGCGCTCAGAATCTCTTGATTTCTGTTCCAATTGATCTTTTCCAAGAGCATAAATTGAGATGAATAAGTATTTATTAGCTTCCATGTTGAACTTACTTATCTATTATTTCCATTATTAAGCATTCAATAGCATTCTATGTGTGATTATAGTTTCAATTGAGCCATTGAAGTGCAAAATGGAATGTTAGCATTTCAAGTCTCATTGGCAGCATATTCGTATCAAGTGCCTATTCCCCTTCAGGCATATGTAGAGCCTAGTTTCATCGGACAATGAGCGTTCTGTTAGTAAACATGACGTGGGCATTGTTGGCGTTTACGTCATTTACGACGATGGCGCCATCTGGGTTAAAACACATTTTCCCGCGCTGTTGTTGTTCAGCATCCAAAACCGCGAACGTGTAATTTTAGCACGAAACCTATTTCATCGTACATGTCCTAGTTACCTTTATATTTTTGTACGAAATCGCTCTATAAATAACAGTTTAAGATGACCAAATTAACCATACCATAGACAATAGACCTATCTAAAAGCGTGGTTAAGCGTTAAAGCGTTAATACTTTTACTAATATAAAAAAGTAGGTGCCTACATAACGCGTTTCATAAATTAATTGACCACACACAGAACTCTACCAAGTCTCCATATAAAAGACTATGACCACCATAAGACATAAGACGTATTTCAGCAGTGTTTAGCTGTCAAAAACTAACCCAAAATAAAAAACCTCGTTCAGCTAGAGCCCCTTGTAATATTTCAAGTGAAGTGGGGGTCAACGCGTCAGGTCAACGAGCGTCGAGATCACGCGCAAATGTCAAGTCCCGTGACATCTCGATGAACGCTCCGCTGTACGAGTGGACAGTGTCAGCCCGACTTATTATATTGCCCGCGTGCATATACTTTAGAAATGTTAGCTAAAAAACGAGGATGAGTTATATTTAAACAAAATAAATTGTTACAGATTCATATTAGGAGATCACCTTTAAATTAGCTGTATGTATCATACACATTATTGGGATTTAGCTATTCATGTCTTTAGTCTAGGAAAAGCCCGACATTTATAATAGTCCACGTGAACAAGCTCTAGCAAACATTCTAATAAATGAGACTGAGTTACTTTGAAACAGAATAATTGTTGTTCTCATTGTAAATTCTGAAATTCATACTCATAATATTCTGGAAAGTGCAACGTTGTATACCTGTAATAATGGTCGTAGCATTTTTTAAAATAATTATAGTTTTTTGTACACAGATAGTCCAGCGTTAAAGTAAAGTAGAGTCCTCTGGAATCGATAGTCAGATGCCTAAACCTATTTGGGCTACATTCGCCTTAAATATGGCATCCTATTATGTCGATAAAATAGACAGACAGATCACAAAAACATTGGAAGATCACATCTTTTATTTACCTACTATAAAAATACAATATTCTGGGGAAACATTCCGAAGCACACTGACAATGATGACTCCATTTTACCCATACGACATCGTGTCGCGCTCAAGCCGGGGGCTACGCATAATTCCATAATCGGATAACGTTACCCCCATATAGGGTGTTCTGACCGAGAGCCTTAGGAAAAATGGGAATACAAAATATCTTATAGGCCGCGCAAAATGCATTTGAGTACTTTTACTAGAATAAAAAAATTAGCACCTAAATAACAAGACAATGTTAAGCCTTTGGTTAATTCGTTGCAAAGTGTATTTTTTAGAAAAAATAAACAAAGGATAAAATGACAAACTATCAAAACCTTTTCCTTTTAGACTAGAAAGGATTGAAATTATTTTGCCTTATGTGTGACTTTTGTTTTCTTATTTCAGCATTCTGTTCTAATCAGTAAGAACTGGTATGAGTATAATATGAGAATATTATGCGTATAATATTTGGGATAACTGGCCAGGGACACTCTGTATACATTTATGCCGCCCTACTTCGCCTGAATTTACATCGCGTTAGTACGAAACACGGATTCGCGGACGAATAAGTGAAATCCATTTGTGACGATCCTTAAACCTTAAAAGGTTTTTATTATGCCCTCTGAATTTATTATTGTGGTAAAAATAAAGTTAATAGAGTCGAAATTAGAACAAAAACTAAGGGAGTTTTGTTCACGTGGACTGGCGTTTTCCTCTCAAAAATACTTGAACATTTTACACGACATTAAAGCGTCATTTGGTGCTCCAAATGAAGCAACCAGAAACCTGTACATACTGTACAACATTACCATACAAGGGTTATTAACATACGTCCTAACTTTTTTGTTTGTTCGTTTCAGTCAAATAATGTTTACTGCTGCTGGAAAAAGGCCTATCCCTGGGATTTCTAGAACTACCGGTCCTACGCTCCTAGGCTGAAAGACGTAGTGTGAGCTGGGCAAGTCTCCCTCACGGACTAATAAATGCTTCTTTTGTTTTGCATCTTCTTTCAGGATTCTCTACAGCAGAAAAGACCTGGCTGCCTGTGGCCGAAGGTCATGAGCATCTGAACGTAGCCAACCAGCGGTCAGCAGTGCGCTCTCACTACCAGGTGTACCGAACCCTGACGAACCTGCGCATACGACCAGCCTTCCGCCTGGGCAGATACGAGTCTTTGGCGTTGAACAACGACGTGTTTGCTTTTAAAAGGTTTGCCACCATTTTCTTATTGCCTTTGAATTTGGCCCAACCATTGGTCCCAACGCCACTTATCTAACTTGTGAATCTAGATAAAATCGTGTTAAGAATAGTATTGGCACCAACTTCGGGCTAACCTATTTTTNGTCTAAAAACCTGGTATTAAGGTAGGTACATCATTGGATTCTATTTTAAGAATACATCATAGATATATATTCATCACTTTCCTACACCGGACCCAATTGAAGTTATGCCTTTCGCACGACAAGGAAGACTGCAATTTTCTTAGCCGCACGGTAAGCGAGACGTACACAAGGTCTATAGACCTGGTTTCGCACTCAACGTGTTAAGTTTTTCTATGGTATTATTTGTAGTTTCTGCTATTGTAATAGCAAAAACAAATAAAACTTTTGATTAACTTTCCCATAAAAATAGTTTTATACATATAAATATAAAAAAACATGTGTTCGCCTGCCTGGACACAGAAAATTTACTGTTTCGGCGAAATACCCGTATCGTATTCAGAGACTTAAAAAATATTCTATTATTATTAGGAACAGAAGATTATTATTTTTTCTTTATGTGACAGGAGGCAAACGATTTAAAAAGATTTCAATTTAAATGCAAACATTATTTTTGATAGAAATCACTTAAAACCATTACCATTAATTAAGAGTGAATAGTAAATGTTTAATTACTAAAAAGCAATTCAAATTTTGGCATTTCTGAATTAACATTGCGTTAATAAATAAATAAAAAAGATTTTTTCCGGGAAATCCTTTATCTTTCTTCAAATCAGCTCTTTATGCTTCCATGCTTCTATTCTAATATTTGCTTACACAACCGCCCACATCGATTCATTAACTCATAATCCACGTGTACCAACACTAAAATATACATTCATCAGCATTAAACCACAAAATTAAGTCAATTGATTCCAAATCTTATTCTGAAGCAATAAAGCTTAAACTCTGTCGAGGAAAATCACTTTGTACTACCGTTATTTAATTCCTTTGTATCCTGAACACGCCTCATATACAATTCCTTTTCCTTCCTCAGGGTAATGATGACAGATGCGTACACAAGTATTAAAAATGCAGTGAGGTATTACGGCGAAGGGATCCATTCGGGGGCCCATGTGCCCTTCAATTTCGCCCTTATTGAGGACCTGGATAAGGACTCGGATGCGAGGGATATTAAGTACGCTGTGGACAAATGGTTGACGTACAAACCTTTGAGGAAGCAAGCCAATTGGGTGGTAAAGTAGCATGTATCTGACTTGAGAATCTAACGCCCGTATTCAGAAACGATGCTTGCCTAAGTGAATCAGCAAATCGAATGCACAGTGTTGAATAGAGCTCTGTGATTGGTTCGTGTGTCACCCTGTGCGTCCACGAGCACTGTGAGACTTCATAGTAATGTTTGTGAAAACGGGTGACAGTGTATTTTGTTCCCAGTTTGGTTAGAACATTACGGCTTGATTCAATTTCACTGTCTGAAAAAGAAACACGTTATTGTCATTCATCATAATGCCTATGACTGTTCATTAGATCTTACAGACATTATTTGTATGTAACTAGAAGAAGATAACTAAAAGTAGTTTTAATACATTAAACTTTTTTGTTGAATAATATATCACTTAATACAACTACCCAAGATGTTACAAGCTCAATGTGCTGCAATGGTAAAAAAAAATTTTTTTTTTAAACGCAGGCCGTTACCAATCGCGCAACATGGAAAGTATTGGGGGAAGCCTATGTTCAGTGGACGTCCTATGGTTGAGATAATGATGATGAATTTTATATGGTTTAAATGATGGTTGTTTTTCTTCCAGATCGGGAACCACGACAAGAGTCGAGTAGCCTCTCGGTTCAGGTCCGAGTTGGTCGATGCCATGAACATGCTCATTCTTTTGTTGCCTGGAATCGCTATCACGTATATGGTAACATTTACTTTCATATTTTTGTATGAAATTCATCAACAACAACAACAATAAAAAAAAAATTGGGGGCTCCCCGCTTAATACCTCGTAATCTTTCATATAAAATAACTTAAATTTAAAAAAAAATCTTAAAATCAATGGTATGGACGGAACCCTTTGTGCGTGAGTCCGACACGCACTTGGCTGGGTTTAATTCTTAATTAATTAATTTGTCGGGGTTTACACCACAACTTTCATTCCATTACATTAAATGTCAAAGTTTTCCTGGTGGAAAACCTTGGGGGAGGCCTTTGTCCAGCAGTGGACGTCATTTGGCTGAAACAACAACAACAAATACCTTTGATGCCAAATATAGCGCCTCCCTCATGTATTAAAGCCTCTAACCAATCACAGGCTATTGAGATTTCATTTATACTTGAGCTTTCATTCAAAAATACTTGAAAAACAATCATCAATCACTGAAAAGCCAATCCCATAGGTACTTTTCTCTTTTACTTATTACCAAACTAATAATTACGATAATTCTTACTTCAATGCATATTATAATAATTTAATTTAATTTGATTAAAAGCCACTTACTTACATTGCAAAATAGCATCTATTGCAAATTACTGCACAGAGCTTAGTCCCACGCCACGTGTGCTGTCCATACAATTATTACATTGAAACCTTTCAGGGCGAAGAAATAGGTATGGTGAATGGATTTGTCCCTTGGAGCGAGACTAAGGACCCCCTTGCATGCAACACCGACGACCCGGTCAATTTTATCGAGGTATCCCGGGACCCCGTACGGACCCCTTTCCAGTGGAGCAACGGGAAGAATGCAGGTAAGGCCCGGGATATTCTTTACCCGACCCTTTTGGGTGAAAGGAATTTATGAAGGTAAATGTTTTAGTTGATAAAATAGGATAAGATTTATAAGCTACAATTTTCAGTTTTGTAGGGATAAAGGTTTTATATGGACCTTACTGAGCCTAGGCGCAAACCACCGACTTTTAGTTGGCCGATAGTTGGGCCCGATTCTAAGGCTGAGTTGTACCACCTAACTTTGACCGTAACTATAACGATAACCGGTGGTTTTTGTATGGAGTTTGACAGATTTTTGACGTTTGTCAAAGTTAAAGGAAGATGGTGCAACCCAGCCTAATTTGTATAAAGAATCGGCCGATAACAAATCTGTAATCTGCGCACTTTCATACATCTCCATACTGATTAACAGCCCGACCCAACTAAAAATCGGTAGTCTGCGCCTAGGCTAAAGATACAAAGAGATAATAAAGTAGCATTTATTTTGGAAATAGACAACTTATTATCTACATTGAAAGACTTCAATCCAATACATTTACTGTCCAAAATAATACAACTACGATTGCCGTCATCTAAAATACCTATAGTAAACTTCTAATACTAAATATTTGACAAATGTGATACGCAAACAGGTTTGAGGTTTTAAATCAATTCGGCAACCATTAAAGTAAAAAAATCTTACAAAAGGAATACCATAGCAACAATTTAAGGATTGTCGAAAATTATTTGACGAATTCATCAATAAATTGAACAATATTATTTTCGTTTATCATTCTGCTGCTATGAATGAGATATTTAAATTGACGGACAGCGTCAGAACCCAACCCAATGAATATTTTGCGGTATCGGATGCTTGACCCGCCCTCGCTACTAGGCCACCCTGCTCATTACATCTCAGTCAAAGCAACTGATCGCCTTCTGACATGAAGATTACTTCGCAATAAGATCGATTTTTGTAAGTTTTGATGGCGATTCCTGAAAGGCGCGTTCAGATTGCTGTAATTGGTGAAGACGCGTCTTGTGATTGAACAGAAAATGTCAATTGGATTTTATCTTGATCAAGTGGTGACTCAATAAAATCAAAATTGAAGTGAATAATTTAATATCTTATTACATTCAGTTATGATGATTTTCATCTTTACGCAACAGAGTTTTCATTTCATTCTGAACTAACTTCAGCCCGCGGCATCATCTGATATTTCGATTTATCGCGTAAAATTTTTAGCGCGCTCAGAATCTCTTGATTTTTTACCAAGAGCATAAATTGATATGATTATTCATTAGGTTCCATGTACTTACCTATCAGTTATTTTCATTATTAAGCATTCAATAGCATTCTATGTGTGATTATAGTTTCAATTGAGCCATTGAAGTGCAAAATGGAATGTTAGCATTTCAAGTCTCATTGGCAGCATATTCGTATCAAGTGCCTATTCCCCTTCAGGCATATGTAGAGCCTAGTTTCATCGGACAATGAGCGTTCTGTTAGTAAACATGACGTGGGCATTGTTGGCGTTTACGTCATTTACGACGATGGCGCCATCTGGGTTAAAACACATTTTCCCGCGCTGTTGTTGTTCAGCATCCAAAACCGCGAACGTGTAATTTTAGTACGAAACCTATTTTATCGTACGTGTCCTAGTTACCTTTATATTTTTGTACGAAATCGCTCTATAAATAACAGTCTAAGATGACCAAATTAACCATACCGTAGACAATAGACCTATTTAAAGCGTGGTTTACGGAGAAGATTATGCAGTTATTAGCATTTTTGAATAAATGATGCATTTCAAACATTTTTTAAGCTTGGAAATAGGTGTGTAGAAAACGAAATTCTCATTTAATGCAATAGATTTTTTAATTTTTATACTCTTAACTAAAATATTAGGTGCCTACCTAACACGTTTCATAAATTAATTGACCACAGACATAACTCTACCAAGCCTCCATGTAAAAATACTAGACCTTATTTCAGTGGAATTAGCTGTCAAAAACTAACTCAAAATAAAAAGCCTCGTTCAGCTAGAGCCCCTTGTAATATTTCAAGTGAAGTGGGGGTCAACGCGTCAGGTCAACGAGCGTCGAGATCACGCGCAAATGTCAAGTCCTGTGACATCTCGATGAACGCTCTGCTGTACGAGTGGACAGACTTAAGAAATATAGCTAAAAATGAGGATGAAAACCTTTTATTTAACTTTTTTATAAAGAGCTGTGGTTTTCTGAATAAAGAAAAATAAAACTATTAGCTATTATATTATTAGAATGTAACTGAATTCTGATGTCTTTATTCTAGGAAAAGCCCGACATTCATAATAGTCCACGTGAACAAGCTCTAGCAAACATGCTAACAAATGAGAACTGAGTTACTTTGAAACAGATAATAGTTGTTCTCATTGTAACCTCTGCAATTCATACTCATAATATTCTGGAAAGTGCAACGTTGTAGACCTGTAATAATGGTCGTGGCATTTTTTAAAATAATTATAGTTTTTTGTACACAGATAGTCCAGCGTTAGAGTAAAGTAGAGTCCTCTGGAATCGATAGTCAGATGCCTAAACCTCTTTGGGCTACATTCGCCTTAAATATGGCATCCTATTATGTCGATAAAATAGACAGACAGATCACAAAAACATTGGAAGATCACATCTTTTATTTACCTACTATAAAAATACAATATTCTGGGGAAACATTCCGAAGCACACTGACAATGATGACTCCATTTTACCCATACGACATCGTGTCGCGCTCAAGCCGGGGGCTACGCATAATTCCATAATCGGATAACGTTACCCCCATATAGGGTGTTCTGACCGAGAGCCTTAGGAAAAATGGGAAAACAAAATATCTTATAGGCCGTGCAAAATGCATTTGAGTACCTTTACTAGAATAAAAAATTTAGCACCTAAATAACAAGACAATAGTTAAGCTTTTGGTTAATTCGTTGCAGTGTATTTTTTAGAAAAAATAGTCAAAGGATAAAATGACAATTTACAATCAAATCCGTTTCCTTTTAGACTAGAAAGGATTGAAATTATTTTGCCTTATGGGTGACTTTTGTTTTCTTATTTAAGCATTCTGTTCTAACCAGTAAGAACTGGTATGAGCATAATATGAGAATAACATTATGTGTATAATATTTTGGGATAACTGGTCAGGGACACTCTGTATACATTTATGCCGCCCTACTTCGCCTGAATTTACATCGCGTTAGTACGAAACACGGATTCGCGAACGAATAAGTGAAATCCATTTGTGACGATCCTTAAACCTTAAAAGGTTTTTATTATGCCCTCTGAATTTATTATTGTGGTAAAAATAAAGTTAATAGAGTCGAAATTAGAACAAAAACTATGGGAGTTTTGTTCACGTGGACTGGCGTTTTCCTCTCAAAAATACTTGAACATTTTACACGACATTAAAGCGTCATTTGGTGCTCCAAATTAAACAACCAGAAACCTGTACAACATTACCAGAGAAGGGTTATTAACATACGTCCTAACTTTTTTGTTTGTTCGTTTCAGTCAAATAATGTTTACTGCTGCTGGAAAAAGGCCTATCCCTCGGATTTCTAGAACTACCGGTCCTACGCTCCTAGGCTGAAAGACGTAGTGTGAGCTGGGCAAGTCTCCCTCAATACTAATAAATGCTTCTTTTGTTTTGCATCTTCTTTCAGGATTCTCTACAGCAGAAAAGACCTGGCTGCCTGTGGCCGAAGGTCATGAGCATCTGAACGTAGCCAACCAGCGGTCCGCAGTGCGCTCTCACTACCAGGTGTACCGAACCCTGACGAACCTGCGCATACGACCAGCTTTTCGCCTGGGCAGATACGAGTCTTTGGCGTTGAACAACGACGTGTTTGCTTTTAAAAGGTTTGCCATTACTTCCATGCCTTTGAATTTTGGCCCAACCATTGGTCCCAACGCCACTTATCTAACTTGTGAATCTAGATAAAATCGTGTTAAGAATAGTATTGGTACCAACTTTGGGCTAACCTATTTTCTAGATCTACACGTTGGATGAGTGGCGTTAGTATCAACATAAAAGCCGGCTTATTGGTACAAATAATGCCTCCCCAACCCATCTGACCAGTGTCGAGTGTGTAGGCCAAGTACTTTTTGTCTCTGGTAAATAAGAGAGAGCTTGGTACTTCTAGAGTGGAGAATAAAAGATCTGATGATGAAAAAAAGAGAGAAAGGAGATAGAGAAGCGTCACTAATTAATCTAAAATAGAGTTTCTATCGACCGTTTTAACTTGGTATGATCTGTGAGCGATTTGGAAGAGAATAATGTCCTGATATGACAAAACAATGGCGTTTTCCAGAAAAACCAATGTCATCATAATCATGACATTGCCGATCCATTTTAGTCCCCAGTGACAGTAATGCAATCATTGATCCTTTTCGAGTGGTTTCGATTTGAATTTATCTCAACAAGATGCATTTGCATCAAGATGATTACCTAATTTAATGCCGTGTTACCTACCTACTATCTTGTCAAAAATAACACATTATGATAACGTTTTTCCTTTATTATCTCAGTACCTTTTCGAAACAAAAAAAGCGTTCTGGAAAAATCGAGATAATATGTTTGACACTTGAATGATTTGTTATTAATTTTCGTTTGTTCGTTCGTTTCAATCGAAAGACGTCCACTGCTGGGCAAAGGCCTCCCCCAAGGATTTCCACAAAGACCGGTCCTGCGGTGCTCGCATCCAGGCACCTCCCGCGACCTTCACGAGATCGTCTTCTTATTCTTAATTTTATATCTCCTGAAAAGGTAGCAAGAAGGCGCTGGATGCAGGTCGCTATCAAAGTATCAACGGATCAATCTGGGAATCACTTAATATAATATTCAGCAGTAGACACTGAAATTATGATGATGATTATTATTATTTATTTATCTCTCTAGTTTGTTGACTATGGAATATTTAAAATATTTTACGGTTTTAACAAAGCCAATACTATTAAGTGTTAACCTTCAGCAAATTCTAATTTGTTATTTCTTGAAATGAGTTTGAAATTTTTTGAATTGATTTTATTTTCAGATGGTACAATGATGACACGTATGTCGTTGTCATGAATGTTGGGAGGACGTACCACATAGTCAATCTGACTGCTTTCGACTTGATCTTCGGCCAGCTGGAGGTGGAAGCCAGTAGTGTCCTATCTTCGAGAACTTATAGGTAATACGGGTTTTTTATGATTGCAAATACTAACAAATTCTTGTGCATAATATAACTCAAAGGTGACTGACTGACTGACTGACATATTGATCTATCAACGCACAGCCCAAACCACTGGACGGATCGGGTTGAAATTTGACATGCAGGTAGATGTTATAGCGTAGGCATCCGCTAAAAAGGATTTTACGAAACTCCACCCCTAAGGGAGTAAAACGGATCTACGCGTACGAAGTCGCGGGCGGCCGCGCCGCTATGAACAGATATATTCTTAAAAAAAGCTAAGCTATTAGCTATTGGTTTTCCACATTGGCAAAAATCACAATTTGATATTCTTTTGTTTTAGTGACAACGTTCAAGCTAGTTACTTGGATCTTGCTGCAGACGAGGCTTTGGTTCTCCGAATGCAAGTTTAACTGATCATAAACAACCTATGACGTCACTAAGAAGATTATGTTAAATAAAACAAATGAAAATAACAGTGTTTTGTTTTTTTAATGCCCTAAATATTCTTAACTTAAAAATGTTCAGTTGTTCTTTCATCATATTGAGCAATTCAATACCTTCTGTATGATAATTTTCATGGTGAGATATGATAAGAATCAGTAGGGAATGTGAAACGTGATAAATGTTTCTATAAATTGATTTATCTTAAGGGTTTTGTTTGTGTGGTATATGAGTTTGACGTGTGAAGATTTACGTTAAATAAATATCAGTTCAAGTACATACATCAATTATGTCTTATTGTTTGTTATTGTATTCGAAGAATCGATTAACTTTATGATTAGTTATAACAAACTTAAGTAACTGAAATTGTATGTTAACTTTAACAATCCGGGAGACAAACAGAAAGATTTATCTTTTGTTTGTAAGGCCTATTATAAAAATAGTTTATAATTTAATTATTTATAAATACAAGTTATCTTACTTCTTTACGAGATCGAATCAGAAATGAGGAGATCCGTAAACGAACTAAAGTCGCTGATATAACCCGACGGATGGTGATGCTGAAGTGGCAATGGGCAGGGCACATAGTACGCAGAACTGACGGCCGATGGGGCAGCAAGGTTCTGGAGTGGAGGCCGCGTACCGGAAAACGCAGCGTGGGACGTCCACCCACAAGGTGGACCGACGACATCATAAAGGTAGCAGGAAGGCGCTGGACGCAGGCCACTACCAACCGGGTAACATGGAAAGTATTGGGGGAGGCCTATGTTCAGCAGTGGACGTCCTATGGCTGAGATGATGATGATGATGATGATCTTACTTCTAAATTACAAAATAGTTCAGCCAATATTTGTTATTATTGCCAGTAACAAACAAATTATCGTGGTCTCTATAATTAGTACAGATTACATTAAACACTAAAAACTAATTATCTATATATATAAAAGAAAGTCGTGTTAGTTACTTCGCTTATAACTCAAGAACGGCTAAACCGATTTAGCTGAAAATTGACAGGGAGGTAGTTTAGAGCCAGGAGAAGGACATAGGATACTTTTTATCCCGTTATTTATTGCCATTAAGGCGGAACAAAGTTCGCCGGGTCAGCTAGTAAAAAATAAAAACAAGTTTTAAAATCTTTCCGCACTTAAAGTAAGGACTAGGAAAGTCTCCGATAACCTAACACTTGTTAATTTTGTTATTAATCATAACTATCTAAAGTGTTGTTTTGTTGTTTTGCTATTATCTTACATGTCACATGTCAGCCTTTCTCACGTTCCTCTCGCATGATTATGTTATTTATGTACTAACATACTATATTCTATGACTAATAACTGACATAACTTGATATTACTATTATTAACTTGGTTAGGATTCTCTAAGTCAAAATTCTAGTAAAAGAAGCCTTTTTAAGTTTTACAGAGAAGATGTTAATTAAGCCATATAAATATGTCATTTTACCTACTATTATATTATAATACAATTAGCCCTTTACGGCGCTCAATTGCAGTTCTGCATCATACCACTTGAACTCATAGAATCTTTTAAACAGTAACAAAAATACCTTATAACGTAGTGCGGCATATCTGCAGCAAAGCACCCTTACGAGTTAGTTACCTCNACAATTAGGTGTATTTATAAATAGCAATTTTTCTAAGTCTAGTTTCCCCCTGATCTGCCATAATGTGGTTTTGTTGACTACCACTTGGTTGTAGATTGTAATCTGCATTTATACCATGTTCCAACCTATTTAGACCGTCTGTTTTGGAGACACTTGCATTTGTGTTTTGGAATGCATTCTGGTTTTATCCGCATTCCTGATAAAACTTAATTGATTACAAATTAACTAATTAAAGTACCTATCAACATTATTCACCGTACTTAAAGTCTAGTGTTAAATCATTTCGTCTCAGTGATATCGGTCCACTCAACTCATTGATAAATGGGTACAAACGACAGCACAGGAAACTTAACTTTATAGCATCTTAAGACGTTACAACAAGAGTGGTTTTGCAACAAAACTGTACAGTATTATGTACTGTAGACTGTACATACCAACTGAGTTATCGTAAACATATAAATCAATGGTCATCTGTACAGCAACTCAGTAGGTGGTCTCATCACAGACCACTGGTAACAAGACGCAAACTAATTCAAAATGAAGGCGGTTATACTTCTGCCACTATTTGTGGTGCTGTGCTGTGGTGGTCTCCTGAAGAAGGACGACAACGAAAAGAAACAGGAGTGGTGGGAGACGACCATATTCTACCAGATATACCCTCGGTCCTTCGTGGACAGCAATGGGGATGGAATTGGTGACCTGAATGGTATGTATTTTTGTGTATGTAATTGCGTGCAATGTGTCACTATTATTTTTATCCACTTGAGTTGATTGTCTTTTTAAGTTAGAAAAATTGTAAAAAATATTAGGTAATTATGATTCTATTTAAACGAGTAAATGTAATGCAAAACGCAAATTACAATTTGACATTATTCATAGTTTTTTCTAATTTCAATTAATTTTACAATCAAGCAAAAATCAGTTACTTACAGACTGGCCCTTATTTAATCAACTGAACAAATTAGGTACCTACCTAGTCCTACACGTCTTGAAGAATTTAACATCGATCTCAAAACCTTTTAAAGGTATTGGAAACGTAATCGCATTAGGGTCCCAATAATCAAATTAGAAAGCTCTCATTGTAAATAAATTATTCCAGGAATCTCTTCAAAATTGGAGTACATCAAGGAATTGGGTGTGGGGGCCATTTGGCTGTCTCCCATGTTCCAGTCGCCGATGTATGACTTTGGATATGACATTGCGGACTTCTACGCCGTGCATGATGAGTACGGGACTATGGAGGACTTCGAAGCGTTGGTGCAGAAGGCCAATTCTCTCGGTAAGTTTAAAGTTTCGAACTCTACTTGTATTATTCGGATTATATTCGTTGTGGTTTCTAAAACAGTAAGCTATGTCTGGGTCTACTAAATTTTATGTCATTGGGTTTAATTGAAAGCCAAATTGTAGATCCTGCCTATAAAGGAATTGCAGTGAAAGGAAAGAGAGGTGGTGCATTATGATAGTAGTAACTTGGTTTTTTTTTTCCTCGCTATTACCATTGATCCCAAAGTGTGTGTTTAATGAGTATCCTTCCTGGCTTAAGAAATGTTTTAAAATAGCGGTGTTTAATACACTTTTTTTTTGCGCAGACATCAAAGTGGTCCTGGATCTGGTACCCAACCACACTTCGAACGAAAGCGTTTGGTTCCAAGAAGCACTGGCTGGCAACAAGAAATACCAAGACTACTTTATTTGGGAAGACGGAGTCGTGGACGAGAATGGGATAAGACACCCGCCTAACAACTGGGTGAGAATTTGTGATTTAAAAATAGTGATAGCAAAACTTTTTAGTTTGAAATTGCTATGAAAATTTGGTTATCAAAATGTTAAATTAGTCTGGCGGTGGATGACCTATGTGGGCGAAATTACGATAAAACTGGTGATTCATTTATCTACATAGAATCATTCAGTCACTTTCACATTAGTGTTTATGAATGAATGAAGTACCTAATGATATAATTATTATATTACAGAGAAGCCACTTCCGTGGAAGCGCGTGGGAGTACAGAAAAGAGGTTGGCAAATATTACCTGCACCAATTTGTCATTGGACAGCCTGATCTTAACTACAGAAACCCTGATGTCGTAGAAGAAATGAAGGTAAGCAATATAATGATAGTATAGAGTCCAAATAATGATGACTCTGCGGTTTTATATTACTAGTAAACAATTTTAGTATTTATTTAGTTTTGTATTTTTTTTTTTCAATTTAATTTCTTACCTATGGCGTCTGATAGATAAAAAATATGATTTTGGGAAATTGTACTTAGTAGGTAACCAGTATAAGCAATAATAATATATTTTACGAAAGATCTTAACATTTCCAGAACATCATCCGCTTCTGGCTCAACAAAGGCGTGGCCGGCTTCAGAGTAGACGCTGTCAACTGCTTATACGAAGTAGACAAAGAACTCTTTGGGGGCGTCTACCCTGACGAACCTCTCTCAGGCAGAACCGACGTCGACCCCGAATCGCACGACTATCTCTCTCACATCTACACAAAAGACAGAGAAGAAACCTACTACATGGTTTACGAATGGAGAGACGTTCTCGACGAAATTGCTGCTAAAGATGGTCTACCCAGAGTCATGATGACTGAAGTGTATGCTACTATACAAGATGTAGTGAGGTATTTCGGTGAGGGAGACAGAAAAGGAGCACAGATGCCGTTTAACTTTGATCTTATCACCGATGTTGACGCTAAATCTTCAGCGGCTGATATCAAGAGGGCTGTAGATAAGTTTATCACCTACAAGCCGGTTGATAAGCAGCCCAACTGGGTGGTGAGATATTTTACTGATTACGTAAAAGTGATGTATTGCACGTGACTCAACAGTTCATGACTAACGCTTAACGTTACTAGAAGATTTAGGTAGAAAGGTGATTTGTAGAACAAACAAATGATATGAGAGTATGATTTAACTAGGTTTGAGCATAAGGGTCTTAAGATGGTGATCCAGAGGTTCTGTATTCTCTTCTTGATAGTGTATAGTCCACAAATATTTATGAAATAACTTAAAATGGTACTTACGAATATTTTGTAGAGCCGCCTCAACTATTCTGCTTGAGAATTTTAATCTCGTTTTTTCTGATAGAATTATTCTGTAACTTGACTACTTTGATTTTATCTTTCATTCATATTATCAAATATGTCACTTAATCATTGAATTCTTCTTGAAGGTTGGAAACCATGATAACAGCAGGATGGCAACTAGATACGGCCCGTCTCTGGTGGATGGGATCAACATGATCGTCCTACTTCTGCCAGGAGTGGGAGTCACTTACATGGTAATTTTTAACTACTATTTATTATCTAGTAGAAGGTCAACTACTTTTACAATTATAAAATAAACACACGTTAAACTCCAGTAACACTTTTACTGCGTTGCATTACACAGGACTGTTTAAGTTAGTATACAGGGTGGAATTTTGAAATGCCACCTGGAGGGAAAGTACTCTTAATATTGTAGATAGAAAATTTTACTCAAAGAAAACATTCCTTTATTTTTTAAAGAAATAGAACTGCATTCAATTGCGCCGCCAAAACAAGCGAATTGGCCGTTGAAGGGTAATTCTAATCACTGCCGTGCCCCAGATAAACAGCGACGTTTAAAGTCTTTCAAAAACATTATTCCAGAAACATAACCATTTTTAAATTGTTTATTAAATTATTATTACTGTAATAATTTTAGGGAGAAGAACTGGGAATGGTCGACGGCTACGTCAGCTGGGAAGACACCGTGGACCCTTCTGGATGTAACACCAACGACCCCATCAACTACGCCTCCTCATCCAGGGACCCGGAGAGAACCCCCTTCCAGTGGAATGCCGGCAAAAATGCTGGTAAATGATAATTAAATTAATTACAATAAGATCAGATTCTTACAAATTCCTTGAACTCAAAAAAGAGACTAATTGGGATTTCTAATAAAAGTCGTCGTCGTCGTCATTTTCGATAAATGACGTTTACTGGTGGGCCATTCCCTCTCCATTCCCTCCCCAAGGATGGATGGATGGATGGAAAGGAACTAAACATAAAACAGGAAAAATATGGTCACGGCTTAGAGGACACTTGCCCTTATAAATATTTAATTAAGTAACAATTTAATTATGATCAATTACACTATTGACAAGGTGGACCGACGACCTGATAAAGGTAGCAGGAAGGCGCTGGATGCAGGCCGCTACTAACCGTGCGATATGGAAGTTATTGGGAGAGGCCTATGTTCAGCAGTGGACGTCCTATGGCTGAAATGATGATGATGATGACAATATCCAGTTTTTAAGTAGGAGTACCTCTTTAATAAATGTATAAATGTTTTAATAACATAACGTAATTGCCTAAGTTTAGAACAATATAGAACCTATTTATAGCTAAAATTAAACTTCTTCTTCTTGTCGTGTCGGCACAAACCTTCGAAAATTAAACTAATTGTAATAAACACTTATAACAAGACTAATCTAAGTTACTCGTTTTGCAACTCAACATGGAAACCATTGGGGGAGGCCTATTCAGCAGTGGACGTCCTTAGGCTGAAATGATGATGATGATGACTCGTTTCTCCAGGGTTCTCAACTGGTGACAAGACCTGGCTACCAGTTGCCGATGGCTACGAGACTTTGAACGTGGAGGTGGAGAACGCAACCGACCGGTCTCACCTGAAAGTTTNTGGTAAATGATAATTAAATTAATCAGAATAAGATCAGACACTCACAAATTCCTTGAACTCAAAAATAAATAAATAATAAATATCCTTAGACATTTTACACTGCGCTTCTAGTCCCAAACTAAGCAAAGGTTGTACTATGGGTACTAGCAACGGATATAAATATACTTAAATACTTTTTTTTGTAAATACATACTTATTATACTAGAAAACACCCAGTACAAACAAATATGTTCATGCACACAAATGTTTGTACTGTGCGGGAATTGAACCCGCTACCTCCGGAATAGTAGTACGTTTCGAACCACTACACCAAACGGCCGTCTAATTTCCTGCAGAATATTTAGACGAAAAACTGGAAATATACGGTCATGGTTAATCGTACACGTGCCCTTATAAATATTTAATTAAGTAATAATAAGTACACTATCCAGTTTTTAAGTAGGAGTACCTGTTTAATAAATATATAAATGTTTTAATAACTTAACGTAATTGCCTAAGTTTAGAACAATATAGAACCTATTTATAGCTAAAATTAAACTTCTTCTTCTTGTCGTGTCGACACAAGCCTTCAAAAATTAAACTAATTGTAATAAACACTTATAACAAGACTTATCTAAGTTACTCGTTTCTCAACTCAAAATGGAAATTATTGGAGGCCTATGTTCATCAGCGGACGTCCTTAAACTGAAATGATGATGATGATGACTCGTTTCTCCAGGGTTCTCAACTGGCGACAAGACCTGGCTACCAGTTGCCGATGGCTTCGAGACTTTGAACGTGGAGGTGGAGAACGCAACCGACCGGTCTCACCTGAAGGTCTNGAAAGTTTACCAGGCGTTGGCAGCTCTTCGCCAGAACAGCGTCTTCAGGCAAGGAAGATACGACTCGCTGGCTTTGAACCAAGATGTGTTCGCTTTTAGGAGGTAAGGAATCCATACTATCAACTACGTTAATAGCTTTTTTTGGAATTTAAAAAGTAGTTCAGGGACCTGATATTTTAGGAATTGTCGAGTGTCCTTTTTATAGGCCTTTTTGGAAAGTCAAGAAAATCATCCGACTGATCGTGGTCAGGTGAAAGTAATTTATACGCAATAGTGAACTTAAATGCATTTTTACCAGTTTCTAGTGAAGTAAAGTACCTGCCCCATTTTTTTCAGATTTTTGTGATGGCTAGAAATATCGCATTCTCTACTTTCTGAACACCCCTCCTAAATACCCGACTCTTTTCAGATGGGACAAGAAGAATGTTTACCTAGTGGTAGTGAACATGAGGGCAGCCGAGCATGTGGTGGACCTGACCTACTTCGAAAACGTCAACGGCAACGTCAAGGTCGTGCTGAGAAGTATCCAGTCTCCAAAGGAAGAAGGGTCAGTATCTTAGCTGGGTTTAGGTGTTTTAGATCAGATTAGCACATCATGTTATCATCATCATCACTTTGGTATCCTAAGTAGTTGTAATACGGGTGATATTGCAACAAAAATGTTTGTCTGATGTGCAAGTTTGTAAAAAAAGTACAAACTTTGGCCTTGTTGGAGATTAGAAAGCGCGTGAATTGCCCAGTGATACAATTTATTATTATTTAAAAAATAAAACTATTTGCATGAGTCCACAAATTTTCCACCAAACCTAAAAATCAGTCCATTTAGTGATTTCGTAAGAAAAGAGATTTTATTGCATTTAACATTTTAATAATTTGTTAACTGTTAAATAAATCATAACCTTATTAAAAACAAAATTAGGTTTCCTATTAAAAATAGGCGTGTAAAAATAAAAAAAAATGTTCATTGTTTCAGAGCCAAATTCCCTGCTTCAGCACTGCCAGTTGCTGGTTATGAAGGAATCGTACTGAAACTGAATTAGATCAATGTATTTTTATTTATTTATTTAAATGCAATAAACATAAAAATCCTAAATGACTATGTATTACTTAAAATGCTACGAACTCATACAGCCAAAAAAGCTTTCGATTAAAGGTTCGATCAAACCAACGGCAATAGCGATGAATGCGTTTAAGTCTGATCGCCACCGCCATCGCGCACGCGGTCTGCTCGCGTTGGTTTGGTCGAACCATTAGTAGATATGGGCGTTGCTCACTCCACCATAAATCACAATATTTTCACTCCTCTGCGTAGGGTTTTTCACACAGTTTTACACGGATTTATTCCTAAAAAGATAATATTTATTGGTCAAACACAGAAAGTAAGGTGAAGAATGAAAGAAAAAGTTAATTTAAAATATACTTAAACATTTTCACACAATATAGGTAAGTACACATCCACACACAGTAAGTAACGTAATATAAACATTTAAGTAGATGAGAATATTGTGATGTTAGGAAGCCATAGGTTTTGGGGCGTGTTCAAATACGATGAAAAAAGTCTCATTGGTAGTTATTAAGATTTTGAATTTGTAATTTCAGATTTACTCTGTAAAATGAGAGTCTGAAATCAAGAGCGAACCAGTATGAAAAATACTAGAAAGAAAAAAAATTTTATAGTATGGTAGGTATACTTAGTACTTACCGATATTAGAATGAATATACTAGTTCACCGAGAGTCCATCCCAAGTCAGTCACTAACTTTCTGACGGAAAGCAGAATAAAATTATTTCTCATAATTTGCCAATACTCTTCTCTAAGATAATTTTAATAAATGGGTCACGATAAAGAGTAATCTATTTAACTAAATAATTGGGCAAAAGTAGTTTGAACAGCATTGAATCCCGTTCCTACTGATAGGGCTAGATGAAATGCGAAGTAGCGCTGACAAAACAAGCGGGATGTCAGATTTGCAAGTCAAATGAAACTTGCGGAGAAATACATTTTAATCCTGTAAAAATGCAGTATTTTTAAATCGACTATTAAAAAAAAATGTTATTGCATTAATTACTAATACTCCCGCTAGCCCCTCGTACTAAGCTAAATATGCGTGTGTCACGACTCACGAGTGAGTTCACCACAATATTAGTCGAGCGGCGGCGGGGACCGAACCCGCGTTCCCTGGATCACGAGTCGGCCAGTCCGACCCCTTTATCGTTCGGCTATCGTGGCTTCAAATTTCAAATTAAAAAATAAATTAAAAATACACAATGCATAAAAAAGGACTGTTGTTCTACACTTACATCAACTGCAGTAGCCAGCGAAGCGATCTGCTAGTTCGTATCATGCGAACTGTCTGCACTCCTCTGACTATCTTTAAATCGAAAAAAGGTCTAGTCTAGACCTCACGTCACTTATCACATGAGTTTCTATTATGACTGGTGCACTTTTTCATTTACTCGTAACTGCCAATCTGACCGACTGATCTGATTTAGACTTCAAAATCAAAATTCAGATCGTATCAGCCCAATCGCCTGATTCGTACTTTTCCATATTATGCAACTGTACTTTGTTTTTGCAGCCTCAGTCATAAGTGGCACTATCGGACCATCTTTAATTTTCAAAAACCCACTGCATTGGACAGCGGCATTACAGTAAAATCACGTACAGTAGGTTGACTCCGAGTTACCAATCAGAATAATGTTCATAAATGAGCTGAAATTGTATGCAGAATTATGCCAAAAGGTTTTAGTTATTCAACTAGGTACACTTATTTAATTCTATAGGTACCCTTTTGAAAATTTTCTTTCAGATAAGTATTATTTGGGGGAGGCCTTTGTCCAGCAGTGGACGTCATTTGGCTGAAAAGAAAGAAAGAAAGAAAGTATTATTTAGATTTAAGCCCTTATTAAATTGGGAACGAATACACAAAGGGATTACAGTAAAGCTGATAAATAGAATGACAGATGTCAACTGCCACATAAACTTTTTAAGTTAAATCAAACATGACTAAAGCCTGGTCCGTAAGCACGTAGAATTTTGTCCAATGACCCCAAGCTACCCATCCTTATCGCTCGCGCGTAATTATGTTGCTGTCGCGCTCGCAAAATCACTGCGGGCGCCCGTCGCACAGTCGCGATAGCAATATAATTACGCGCGAGCGATAAGGATGGGTAGCTTGGGGTCATTGGACAAAATTCTACGTGCTCACGGACCAGGCTTTAGCACAATCTAGCCTACGTAGTGAGTAGGTTCTCATTGTGTGATTGTGCATGAACCTACTGTATTCATCTCAACTGTAACTACACGCGCTTCGAGATAAAGATAAGCAATTGGTTAGCAGACTATTATTTATCACAAACATCCTATCTTAATCCTAATCTCGAGATATTTTGCCCTATAATAAAGGCTGCAATGAAAGTATCCATCATCTTTAGTGGTAGCCATCATGGGGTAAGATGTTTTATTGAATTTAATATAGAGTTGCTTCATGTGAAGATTGCTTTGTGCTGGTGAAACGGATTTTATATTAGCTGCCATAAGCAGACAAATGAAAGTGCATTGTGTTATATTAATTAATTCAAAATGCTTATTTACAGTTTGAAATTAAAGAGCCTGTTGCTTTTGCCACTGGCATTCCTTCTGGTTCAATCCCATGAGCAGGAATGGTGGGAAACCACCATATTCTATCAGATCTATCCAAGATCTTTTAAGGACAGTGATGGCGATGGCATCGGTGACTTGAATGGTAAGTTATAGATTTTTTTTACTTTTACATGTTTTGCATTCAACCTTTTTCTGAATCTGTAAGCAGGTGAAGGAATGTAGCTGTCCTGAAAAATATAATTATGGACCTAGGAATATATACACCTTGAGTACTTACCTACTTAGTTTTCTCTATTGCATCAAAGAGTTTGTTTACATCATTATGCTTTGACCCTCAGGTATTACCGAAAGCTTGGAGTACTTGAAAGAGCTGGGAGTCGGAGCAACATGGCTTTCTCCTATTTTCAAATCGCCAATGTACGATTTTGGTTACGACATTTCCGATTTTTACGAAATTCAAGATGAGTACGGAACCATGGAAGATTTCCACAAGCTTATTGAAAAAGCAAATGAACTGGGTAAGATATTAATTTTTGTCAATGTTTATGCGTTACGTAAGTATCTACTAAAATAATTAAAAATGTATAAATTTTGTATAAAAAAATGTGTTTCCAGATATCAAGGTAATCTTAGATTTCGTACCAAACCACGGCAGCAATGAAAGTATGTGGTTTGAAGAAGCCCTGAAAGGTCATGAAAAGTATTTCGATTACTTTGTGTGGGAAGACGGAGTAGTTGATGAAACTGGAAAACTTAACCCTCCCAACAACTGGGTAAGTTTATTTTTAAGTTATCCTTACATTACTTATTTTTCAAAAGAAAGTAGAGTATTGACTAAAAACTTAATATCAATTAAAACGGGAAAAATATGTTTAACAGGTTAGCGTATTCCGTAAAAGTGCTTGGGAATACAGAGAAGAAGTCGGCAAATACTATCTTCACCAATTTGTGATTGGTCAACCAGATTTTAACTTCCGTAACCCTGATGTCCTCGAAGAAATGAAGAACATAATCCGATTTTGGCTAAACAAAGGTGTTGCTGGATTCAGAGTAGACGCCGTTGCTCATCTGTTTGAAGCAGACAAAGCAAAGCACGGTGGAGTGTACCCTGATGAGCCAAAAACAGGACAAACTGAAGACCCTGATCACTACGATTATTTAGATCACATTTACACTAAAGATCAAAACGAAACCTTCGGTGTGGTTTACGATTGGAGGGAAGTATTTGAGGAGATCAAACAGAAAGATGGTTTGACTCGAGTCATGATGGTCGAAGCCTACTCCAGCCCTCAGCTTTCGATGAGGTACTTTGGTGATGGTGAACGTGATGGTGCTCAAATGCCTTTCAATTTCGTTCTCATAACTGACGTCAATGGTGAATCTACTGCTGGTGAAATCAAATACGCTTTGGACAAGTTTTTGACTTTCAAACCTATTGACCAACACGCTAACTGGGTGGTAAGCAAACATCCTTTTACAAAATTCTTTCCAGTATGATTGAAAAGGGTACTAATGCACCCTATTTACCTTATACCTACTTATTTATTTTATTACATTACAGGCTGGAAACCATGACAACAACAGAGTAGCATCAAGATTCAGCCCAGAAGTGGTTGATGGTATCAACATGATTGTACTTTTGCTTCCTGGAATAGCTGTTACGTACATGGTAAATAAACTTTAAAAATAAGATATTATGCTCGTTTACTTTCTTGCCAAATACAGCCTCTACTGCTTTGATAACTTGTTATAGGGTGAAGAGCTTGGCATGGTTGACGGGTATGTGAGCTGGGAAGATACCGTAGACCCTAGTGGCTGTAACACTGACCCCATCAACTACGTGACAGCTTCAAGAGATCCTGAAAGAACGCCTTTCCAGTGGAGCGCAGATGTCAATGCTGGTAAAGATTCAAAGATTATTTATTCACAGAGATAGTGTGGTATAAAAGTAAGGATACCTATAAATAGATCACATACCATCATCAGGTCATTTAGACTTCTTAGGATCATGAGTTTCTTTTAATTTACTAGAAACAAATTAATGAAGGTTTTATAGGATTTGGCGTACAATTCCAAAGCTAGCCTAAACGGTTTTGGGAGGAATTTTCAATTTTTTCATTAATTTGTTTTAGATTATTATATCAATTGATCAACTTTTTAGGATTCTCTACTGCTCAAAAGACCTGGTTACCTGTTGCTGAAGGCTATGAAACACTAAACGTGGAAGTACAGAGGCAAGCAGAGAAATCTCACCTGACCATATACAAACATCTGTCATCTCTTCGCAAAGAGGCTGTGTTCAGACATGGCAGATATGAGTCGGTTGCGTTCAACAATGATGTCTTTGCGTTCAGGAGGTAAGAATATGTTTTTATCTAATGTTACTGAAATAATATTTACGTGGTTGATCGCAAAATATTTAAAAAAATGGTCAAGTGCTCACGGCAAATCATTAAAACTGAAAACGGTACGTATAATTTCCTTGTAAATATTGTTAACCTTCACCGTCATAGTTCATACCTAAATGAAATCTAACCGAGTTCAACAAACTTTACCCTTATTAATAAAAAGTTACACCTAGGATGAACACTGGATTAAAATGACATTTTCATACTAAATGACAACTTAAGCCAGGGTTTAACTAGGGTGTAACTTTTATTATTAAGAGAGATCGGGTACCTATATACGATCTGTTTTCCATCTAACTTCACAGATAGACATGCAATTTCAAAGAACTTCAAAAAACTTTTTATGTACTAAACTAATTTTACCTTCATTTTCATGGCAAATTTCCCCAGCGTCAGACAGATTACACTGATCTTGTATAATCTGAGATATCATGTTTTTTGGATGCCTAGAAACCCAATGTTTTGACGAATGCACATTGTTATCTAGACATGACAAGAGTTCTATGGAGAACTTTTGATCTTGATAAAGATTATGAACCTTTATCAATCATTGTTCAAGGCTACTTCGTATCAGTGGCATCATAATATTTGAAGATAATTCTATCATTCTCTTGAACTTGACCTGAAAAATTTCCACTCTCGAAAAAAATACATTTTATTGCGCAGATATTTTTAAGCTCTTTATTGGTAATGGCAAAACTGCCACCAATTTGAACTTCAGTGAAAGAATATAAGCTTCAAAATCAATGATATTTTTTTTCAAAAAAAGGGTTAATTTTGATTGTTTGAAATTTCGAGGCTCTTCGAGGAAAACCAGTGGCCAATCTCTCAAAGAGAAAGGTTAATGAAAGATAATGGTAGGAAAAGATTAAAACCCGGCTGTTTCTTGTAATTGTTACAGTTATTGCTAATGAACGGGGGCAATTTGAGATCCCTTTGTTTAGACAAAATACAATATCTTTGAACCTGACGTCTATTTAGAGTAACAAATCTTGCAACGTTTTTAATGGAGTGTAATTTTATAAGAATTAACTAAATATACATCTTTGAGGAACATAATATATTTCTACTGTTTGGTGTTGGTCCACCACTGCAATTTATTTATTATTATTATTATAAACTTTAACAGTCAAGACAAATAGCAAGCCTGGATTTTTATTGATAACGAATATTATTACAATATAATCTATGAATCAAGTATTTTTAGACACTTTGTAGCTCTGAAGTAATGGTTTAAGTTTATTTACTCGTATCTTAAACCCACGGCCGATGCGATAACACTCAAAAGTATCAAGTGCTTTTAAAATTAAATACTCTTCTTTTTTCTTTTTTTTATCCACAACGAGGAATCACCTGATGGTAAGTGACGATCAGGCCGAAGGTACTTCTTCTAACTCTTTTATTTGTTACAGGTGGTACAAGGGTGAGAACTACGTTATCATAATCAACTTCAGAGACAACCCTCACACGATCAACTTGGAGTACTTTGAAAACGTCACCGGCCACATGGAGGTGGTCGAGAGTAGCATATTGTCACCAAAGAAGGCCGGGTAAGGAAAAACATTCAATCTTGATCATCATCCTAATATGAAAAGCGACATCAAAAGCCTTGGACGATCATTAAAGAGTTAAACTCCCCCACATCTAAAGGTTTTGTGTTGAATGAATGAATAGAATAAATTTTAATGCAAAATCTTTCAAAAAATCTTCATTATTTGGTCTTAATTTAGTCTCTACTGTCTTCTGTTTGTTCGTTCGGTCGTTCGTTTCAGCCGAATGACGTCCACTGCTGGACAAAGGATTTCCACAAAGACCGGTCCTGCGCCACTCGCATTCAGGCACCTCCCGCGACCTTTACTTCGTCGTTCCACCTAGTGGGAGGCCTGCCCACACTACTAAGAACTAAGAAGGAGCACGACTCTCTCCAATTTCGTTCGTTTCAACCGAAAGACGTCCACTGCTGGACAAATCCAACTCCCTCCAATTTACCAGAGACAAATTGACAATTTGGCCTACGCCCTACATGCTAACCAGACAGTTTCTTCTTCTTCTTGTCGTATCGACAACAAACCTATACAGTGTCAGCGCAAAACTCCGCTACAAGAGTGGCGTTGTCATTGCATTCATTAATCTTCCTGCGTGCAGTTGTTTGGGCACGCAGGGAACGACATCAAGTGCTTCATTAAGTGGGGAATAATACCCGGCGGTTTAGAAAGGCCTATTTTAATGAGTACCTAATAATTAATGTTCTATTCTTTTCAGGGAAGAAATCCACGCTGACCATTTGCATGTTGAAGGTTACGAAGCTATTGTGCTGAAGGTTGCAAATTAATTTGTTGTTTTTGACTATGACGTAGCTTGTAATTTACAGTAAAATTCCTTGATTAAGTAAAAATTTTGATTAATGCTTTAGAAATTCGTTTTAGAGAACTCTTTTAGAAAGCTGACAGTTAAAATACTGTAAATACTCGTAGTTTAAATACGTACACTAAATTATTTATAAATACTAAAATAAAGATTTAGTTTTTTAATTAATTGAATTTTTATTTTAAACTATTTTACCAATTACCTAACCCTAAAGTAAGCAGAATTTAACCTATGGTAAGAGTGTGCTTACCACGCCACGACTTTACGTTAGGTGTGCTCGCTAGCGAGTACGTCAAAAAAATCTCATCATCATCATCATAAACAGCCCTTTACAGTCCACTGCTGGACTATGAGCCTCCTTCACTATAGTGGAGGGTATTGCCATAATCCCCACGCTTGGCAGGCGAGTTGGAGATCGCAGTTTAAAATATTGATGTTTTTCAGAGAGCGCTGCTGCCCGTTCTCTGTTTGATGTGTAGTGTCCCTAAGTCGCCTCTTACGACACCCGCGGGAAGAGTTGGAGTTCAAAAAAATCTATGAAGATTTTATTTCTTGAAAGTAGCCGCTAGGGGCTCTGAACAATGGTAAACACACTGATAACATAAAAATACAAACCACGTACCTACTACTGCTCGTATTCATAAACCCAACTCTTTCCCAAGCCAGATGTATCAACACTTTATTAAGTTATAACTGGGATCATCTCGCTGACAAAATATTTAAAAATGTCCCCATGTTTTCCCTCTTCAATAATGCTGGGAAGTTATATGAATTTCCCACTATCCATAATAACAGCTTCATTTGCGTACATGAATAAAACATGAGTGACGTCCTGTGCGAGATTTGGGCGATCCTTCCCGTAATATTCAGGCCTGGTTTATGAATACTGTATTTTTGTGTACATTAACGTAAATGGTTTGACAAATGGCGCCTACATTTTGGTGGTCAACAGAATACATGGTGGTTTTCTGTTTGCCTGAATGTGTTGTGTTGTGACACCTCAGGACGGAATCAGTTTCATATTATGGTTAGGCTAACTTAACTACAATGATAACCGGTGTTTTTTGTATGGAGTTTGACAGAACTGACGTCTGTTATAGTCAAAGTATGATAGTGCACCATCATCATCATCACCACTACCCCACCTTAGTATGGTAACGTTTAAAGTAGAGTTAGTGTCATATCGTGATGGCTTCTGACGTTCCCATACTAAATTACCCTCAAAAATACACGCAATTTTTAGAGTCAAAGATTTTATTCAGTACTTAGGCTCTTCTCAAGGCGCTTATACACGTTCCAAATATAGCTTGCCCTACCACCACTTCGGGATAACATATTATGGGCTGGTGCTGAAAAGAACAGACAGACAAATACCTATAAATCCTCCTTTAGTTTCATTCATACTTATGAGTTTGATAGATGTAGGCAATTTTTCTGAATGTGGTTTACGTAATACGTATTACGATCTATGAATAAAATATGCTCCCAAAGATTACGCAACGAACATCCTATTATTTGTCCACGTGAAGTCATACATCGCTACATCACCCATCGCCATTTGTGACATCATACACGCCTCTTTATTGTCTGTCGGGACACAACCAAATATTTGATGGTATACGACGCTTAACACTTTGGCGTCTTATGTACACGTCATGAGTAGTCCTAATAGAAGAAGGTAAAATGTTATGTCTGACATACTACACTCAACATCAAATAAACCGCACCTTCCGCGACGCGAACTTTAAAGATTTTCTTCTGACACAATCATGGTACCCCAACAAAATTGGTGTTATTTGAAAGCCCTATAAATATCCTTAAAGAAAAATACATTTCATTTCTAAATAAATGATTTATCACATACCATAAATGTGACTTGAAAATAGACCTCACTTTGGGCTCAATTCTGGGATCAATTAGACCAATTTTTATGGTTATAAAACCAAATAAAGATCTCACGTGTCCTCTTTAACAGATGGATAGGGATAAATCCCAACTTAACAGTTTTATAGTCATAAAAAATGGCTATAGCGTAACTACCTATTTTTTGAAGAAGTGACTCTGGATCCTTGTTAAGACACATTTTTGAGGTAAAAACCTTTCCTTTAATGAAATGAAGTTTAGGCTTTCAAATGGTACCAATGTTGGTGGGAAGTGGGGATGCATACGTTTGATAAGTGCTTGTCGCGGGAGGTGCGATTTATTTGATGCCGAGTGTAGTTGAAAGAGCTACGGCATATCAAGCTAACTAAACATTAGAATTAGATCATCTACCTCAGTCTACACTAATCCTACTAAAATCCTCCGTGGAGATACAGGCCAAGAGCTTCCTCGTTGAGAATCAAAAAAAAGTTGTAAAGAGGAAAGATTTTATTGTTTGCTTTCGCTGGTAGGGTGAAAAGATTATAAGACATGTAGAATTGTAGAGGCTCCTTAAGAGCAAAATATTTGTCAATTTTTAAGTAGGTACTATTTCAATAGGCTTATACAAATAAATAAATGTTGACTTTGACTTTGTTTGTATTGAATAGGCTCCGAAACTACTGGGCCGATTTGAAAAAGTAATTTCACCATTAGAGTCCTATAATTATTATTTCTGAAGAACATAGGTGGTACGAAGTTCGTTGGGTTTGCTAATTGTTAATAATGTAAAATATTCTTGTGATGCCCACATCTAGATGCTTTTCCCGATCTTCACCAAATCGTTGGTCCACCAAATGTGGAGATTAAGTACCGTATGAAGTCGTAATAAAAGACAAATCTATACTAATATTATAAAGCTGAAGAGTTTGTTTGTTTGTTTGCTTACTTGAACGCGCTAATCTCCGGAACTACTGGTCCGATTTAAAAAAAAAATTCAGTGTTAGATAGCCCATTTATCGAGGAAGGCTATAGGCTATACAACATCACGCTACGATCAATAGGAGCAGAGCAATAATGAAAAATGTTGCGAAACGGGTTTTCACGCGTACGAAGTCGCTGGCACAGCTAGTTTCCAATAAAAAAATAGTCTGACTGTCTTAAAATACAACAACAACATAATAGGTCTAGACGGCGAATCAACATGGATAATCTTATCTTATCTTATCTTATTTTTTGGGCCGCGCATGGGCGCAGTGCACGTCGACCCATTGGGATCTTTTGTGCTTCCCTATACCTTTATCCCCCCTCATCCACAAAGATCCTATCCATATAGTGGATCAAGTGCTTGGGTGAGAAGGACCTATATTCTTCTGGCGTCGGATAAGCCGACCCCAGGAGACCCATTCTAGTTCTAGCTAGCGCGTCACATTCGCAGAGTAGGTGTTTCATGGACTCCGCATGTTCTCCACATGCTCGACAGCTGTCATCCGTAGTTAGGCCCATTTTGTGGAGCATGGATAATGATAATTTTATTGATGAAGTCAAAATAATGTCTGCAGGTCTACATTTAGACATTTATTTTTATGTTAGATAAATAATATTCTAACACGCGAAATGATAAAAGAAACACGTACGAATATATATTATCATTTCTTTCTGATAGACACACACTCGTTAGTAATCAAATAAGGCTTGTTACATTCCCCTCATACATACATTCATTAACGTGTTAGGGGTCTCACTCGATGTGTTAACATATCTATTTACATGAATCATGCATTATTCATAATATATCATTATTTGCGAATACGTTAAGATTTGATAGTGTTTGAAGTAGTTATTTATTGAGATAGAGACACCTGAAATGATTGGATTGGTTATTAGTAAGTTTTCTGTTATGTTTTTCTAACCGTAACGCGTAGACTTGTTCACATATTATTATTATGTAGTTAAATTGAATTCAAAGCAAATAAAATAATAGTTATCTAGTCATCAAATTATATTATTGTGTTAAAGTATAATTATGGTTTATTGTGTGATACCAAAACTGGTATCACTTTTGATGAATAATCATGTCTATGTTACAATATTATGAGTGGATAGAACCAACATCAAACTTGTCTTTGGAATTCATTCGAGTCTTTAATTTTAGGTCTTATTTGAAATATTTAACGAAATTAGAAATCATAGTAGCGCTTGACAGCCCTGAAATTAACCACGTGATCCAAAAATCACACCACAAGTCACTGCCGACTCTCGTAATGGAATAATCGCGTACAAACTGTGTTCTTGCGTAAATACCTTCGGAGATGTTTAATTTAAACAGCCTCTATGGAAGCGTACTAATTAACTCCGTCTTGGTTAGTCATGCAGGGCTGTCAACATGAGAACGAAGCGAAACCCTGAAGAAATGACTTTGATACATTCTCGTTTCATCTTTCTTGGGTTAAGGATGCTGCTTCCGAGAAGAAATATTATTTTTTTGTATTATGTTGCACCTGGGTAACTTGTGTTAATCAATATGTTGTTGAGTTCAGTTATGATGTCGCAAACCTGAATTAAGTCAATTTAAATCCTCTTTTTAATTCTTACGAAAACCGCCACTTTATAGACTCACCTATTCTATTACAAACTCAAACATTTATAGATGCTGCTTAATTGTATTCCAATTATCGATTGTAGTTCCAAGAAAAAACATTTCCAATGTTTGATTTACTGACAGCCCTAGAAATCTGAGAACGTGATAACACTTCTCACGCGTGTAATTATTTTGTTAGAAGCAGCAGGGTGCCAAATAAATTAGTATCAAGTAACCATGTATCTACCTATTAGGTCTATTGGATCTACTATCACAGAATACATAACTACTATCGCCTATTTGTTATAGGTGGAGAGAGAAAAAGAAAAACTGATTGTTATACTGAAACAAGCTTATAAATTAGATTATTAGTAATTATACTTTAATTAACCCTTAAGTAACACCGTGGGGTAATTTTTTACCCCAGGCGCATAAAAATTGACATATCTTTTTTTCTAGCGTAGCTAGTGCAATGTCGTTTTGTGTATTCTCAATCCAGAGTGTGCGCTTTGAGCTCGTAGATGCGGGATGTGAAAAAATCATCCGTTTGGCTTGTAGAGGTAGGTGGGGCAGAAATTTACCCCAGGGTGTTAGTTACGCATACTTTAATTTATCATCACCTAAAATGTTATTAATAGGTTTTTACAACATTTAAACAATAAATATTTATATGACGATTAAGTAGCACATTGTCTCTAGAACGCAGAGAGATAATTAGAGCCTATTT